ACCTTTTTTTTTATTATTTTATTTCTTATTTTTTTTATTTGGTAAGAGAGAAAGGGCCTTTCTAGATAGAAATTATTTACCTTGATTTTAATGAGGCTTTGATGCCGTTTTAAATGACATTCTCATATGCTGGCTGGGAAGTGTATATTTTGGTGTATGAAAAAAGAGCTGCAAAAGCAGCTAGAATGATATGTCTAGAGCTATATCTAGAATGTCTAATGGTTATTTTCAGGGGTGGCCATCTCGAGCTGAACACTGTTCTTTCATGATGCGGCTGAAGACAAAATGGTGCTTAGGAAATGGGGAAATGTCCCCAAAGTGAGGGGAATGGTAAGCACAATGACTGAGAAGAGTAGAACTAAAAAAAAAAATATCATTTCCAATTTCATGAATGGACTGAAGAAGGAAAGAAACCAGGATTCAACTTGTTAGACAAATGTGTCATTCAGTTCACAAGGAATAACAAACAGCAAGTGGAAGAACTACCGGCTGGGCAGTAATTCTGTGGGACAGTACGTGCATGCAATGGAAGATTGTGATTGTCAACTGTGACTCGTGTGAAAAAGGTAAATATAGAATGGAGAAAATGGTTGTAAACACAGTTTGCTTGCTTTCCCCCTCTGTGGCACTTGATAAGGCCTCTGCTGGTCTATGACAGCCAGTGGAATTTTTTCTTTCTGCCTGAGAAATGTGTATTTATTTCATAGTCTGGAGAAGAGAAATAGACTGCTTGGAGGAAAAGAGGAAGTTGGAAATTCAACAGCTGGGGTGGGGGACGGTGAGGAGTAAAAGCAACAGTGATGTTCTTTGGAAGAGGAACTATGAACATGGAGCCTCAGAGTCTCTCAGCTCTATGTAGAAGAATTTGTGGAGCTATTTCTCCTTTGTGGCAGTGTGGGATTAGGAGTTCTGGGTGTGCTGCTTTGAAGTAGTTTGTGTATCAGCTGTGATCCACCCATTTGTCACTGTTCAGGAGCCCCTGAGCTGGAATGTCCCTGGTAGCATGCACCAACATACTCACCTAACCCATTACCTCTCCTTACTATGTTTTTCTTTTTTGTTTTCAGGCAAAGTTGGATGGTGTAGTATAACCCTATTTAGCTTTCTAATTTTCCTACTGCAGAGATTTCTTTGTTTCCTAATACACTAATTTCCTTCCATTGCATGAGCTAGGCTGAAAATGGGCAGATGAATAGATGGGAACTGTTAAACCCCCTGAAGGATTTTTTAAAATTATATTTCAGTTTGTTAAAGGCACAGTTTTGTAGTGTGCCAAGTGTTCATGAATTACAGACAGAGGATAAGCCCTGTGCACTTATTGCTGATCCTCAAAGTCAAAGACCAGTTTTGCTTTTGAGAGTGGAACCAGCATCTGAGATCTTTTCCTTGCAGGTCTATTTCACAGAAACAGCTAAGGAAAGATTGTGTTAGGCTTGTATCCCTTGGGAAAGGCCATCAGGAATCACTAAACAGGCATAATAAATACTAGTGTGGTCTGTACCACAGTTTTGGCATATGCTTGCAAGCAGGTGTTTGGAAAGACCTCTTGGGAGAAGACAACTGTGAGCACCTCATGAAACCCAACGCAGGAAGATGCTAACAGATATGCTTCCAAGCTTTGTTTTGCTTTGTTTTGGGTGCCAATTTCCCATCTACTTTGTCTTTCAGCTTGCTGCCAAGCTTGTACTGATGGAAATACAAAGTGTCACAGTGTCCTTGCCCTGCTTTGTTTATCTCTGTAGGAAATTCAGTTCATAATTCCTAAGTTTGCAGTTAGTGTCCACTTTTATGTATGAACCCAGGCAAAGAGTAGGTAATGATTGCAAAGTTAAAACTATTTTTCTGTAGAAAGTTCTGCTTCACGTAACTCTTTCAATAAAGATATTGGGCAAGATCCCATATGGCTGTGGTATTCTTCTTTCCACCAGGCATTTATCCAAAGTTTTACCCTGTGGGTAAAGAAGGAGAAAGGCCAAGTCATCAGTCTACTTTTACATTGAAGCCATTCACATTTGCTCAGAGCTGCCATAAGCAGCTGGGTCTCAGCTGTAACTGTCTGGATAATACATTCCTTCTTGTAAAAAAAGAAATAAAGGGAAGCCATTTTCCTTGCTGCCTTGTAAAGGAATAGAATGAAGTTAAACACAAGGCAAGCCCTTCATTGCTCCTTCCCAAGAGTGTGCTTATTTCATCCAGGCTTGTTTTTTGGGGGAGACATAACCCAAAAAGGAGTAAGCAGAGCAAGGAGTGAGAACCTAACTGGAACTGAGGTCTGACTCGCTTTGGTGCAAATGAGATTACAGCTGATCACCCTGGATCCTGAGTCCTCTGAGATATCACACATTTATTATTTATAACCAGAGACTGACATCCTATAAAATGGAAATGGCCAATTAATCACAAGCATCTTTTGGCAAGCTTTTGCAAGCAAAGAACTTCAAATCTTCATCCAGGCTAACCAAGCTCCAGTGACCCCAGATGGAGTTGATTAGTCAAATCTGTTGACTGCCTATAAGGGAGCTCTGTGCAGACTTGTAAATGAAAAAGGAAATGGGGATTAAGGTTTGTTTCAGGAATGATTAGACAGTTTTTCCTTTGAATGGTGGAAATAGCTCTGAGGAAATCTGACAGCGTGAAAGTGCAAAGGGGGAATGTTTGGGTTTATTGTTTGTGTGTTTTGCCAGAGAGCTAAAAGCCCCAATTTATGTCAGACTGAAAGTTAAAGGATAGGAAGATCACAGATGGAGTTTGATGGTTACAGGTATCTGTAGTTTTGCTCAGACTTTGTAAAGGAACAGGGTGCTGGTATCTGGGCTGGGCATGCAAACCTCCTGCAAAGCAGAGGTTCCCACTGCTGGCCCAAATTGGGTTTTCTTGAATAATATTGGCAATTTCTGCTCTAGCTGTGAGAGTTTGGACCAAAGCCTGAGATTCAGCTTTTTATGTCAAATCTAGGATTCAGAGAGGACTATGAAGGGGTTTGTGTCAATATTCTGTGTCAGCAATCGGGGTGGCATAAAAATAAAATGTTCATTGATTATGATGCCTTGCAAAATGCTTTTCTGCTGGTGTGCGAAAAACCATTGTTGATTAAATTGATCAGTTCTTGTTTCTCTGTTCCTCTCGTGTGTGTGAGCACATCTGTGTCTCGTGCCTAGACTGCAAGGTATGTTGGAAATCAGTTGGACTGTAGTTTCACCTGGTTGTGAGCCTAAGGAAGGGCTTTTGGACTAAGATAGCATCACGAATAATAACAATAGTAAGCAGACCTGATTTTCTTGGCTGATTAATCTGAAATCTCCTTAGAGACATTCAGGAAGACAATGCATGGTTTTCTCTGGCAGTAGCTGACTGGGTTTTTTTGTATACCATTTTCCCCTAAAATGTTTGTCATGTTGCCAAGCTGCTCTGTTCCTTTGATATGCAAAGCACCTTGAAGAGAGAATCCTTCAATTACCAATATTCCCAAAGCATGGCCATGTAGTAAGGAGGGAAAGGGGATTTTTGTTTTCAGACATCTCTCAATATAAAAAGGAAACACTTGTGTTTGCAGGATTGTTCTCCTGGTAAAAGGCTTTTGGAGTGTTTGTGTGAGATTTACTCTTTTGTAGCTATAGTAGTATCATCACATTGTGCTCTGTTTTGAGAATACTTATGGACAATAATGTGAGTTTTGAGATATACCTAGAAGTGAAAGAACTAGCAACGATACCCTCAAAGGACACAGGGAAAGTAATGCAGAACAAGAAGTACTCAATATATGTGATGAAATATTTGCTGTTCTCATACATCTCTGATAATTTAATATCCAACAGGCACCAAGATATACAAGATATAGCATGTATTATACTTGGATTTTTAGAGTCAGTGGGTTCCAGCTTGATCAAACAGCTTGGATGCAGTGTGGTTCAGAAATTCTCTCTGTTGTTAATGGTGGGGGAAATCTACTGCTTAATGAAACAATCTTGACCTGCTGGTGATTCATGGGCAGAATGCAACTTATGAGATACTTCCAGCCAGCCCAAAGCCTTGTCCTGGTGGTGACGAGGAATGGCTGTTCCCTCAGCAGGCTGTGTCCTGTGGGACTCTGCGGTTCCATGAGGAGGAGGCTAGAGAGCCCTGGGGAAAGACCCTGTAGGGTGGTGTGCTATGATGGTTTTCGCTGGGGTAGAGTTAATTTTTTTCACAGCAGCTGGCATGGGTTTGTGCTTTGGATTTGTGCTGAACACAGGGTTGATAATACAGAGGTGTTTTTGCTATTGCTGAGCAGGGCTTACACAGAGCCAAGGCCTTTTCTGCTTTTTGTACTGCCAGGCTGGCGAGGAGGTTGGGAGGAGACACAGCCAGGACAGGTGACCCCAACTGATCAGAGGGGTGTTCCCAGCCGTATGACATCATGCTCAGTGTACAAAGTGGGGGACGTTTGGAGTGATGGCATTTATCTTTCCAAGTAGCCACGGGGCCCTGCTCTCCTGGAGGTGGCTGAACACCTGCTTGCCCATGGGAAGCAGTGAATTAATTCCCTGTTTTATTTTGCGTGTGTGTGTGGCTTTTGCTTTTCCTATTAAACTGTTTTGATCTCAACCCACGAGTTTCCCCGCTTTTCCGCTTCCAATTCTCTCCGCATCCCGCTGGTGGGGGAGTGAGTGAGCAGCTGCGGGGCCTTGGCTGTTGGCTGTGGTTAAACTGGAATGGGTGAGCCGGGAGGCGCTCCAGGGCAGGGCAGCACAGGAGACCCTCTGGCGCTGACACCTGCTCTGCCACCACCTCTCCTCGGGGACCCCAGGCCACCCAAACCGGGCTTATGTTCGGCAGCTCGCTATGCCCACAGTCGCAGGCAGCGCCGCGGCCGCTGTGGCGCTTTGAGGGGGCCCTCCCGTGTCCCGCCGCCAGGCGGCGCCGCCGCCGCGGAAACGCGAGGCGCCGCCGCCGTGTTCCCGGGGGGGCCGCGTTGCCGGGCGGAGCGCTGAGCGCGGCGCACGCGTCCCGGCAGCAGCGCCATGGCGCCCGGCGGAAAGGTAGGGCAGGGGAGGGCTGGGCAGGGGAACGGGGGGTCGCCGGGGCTGGAACACCATCCCTCGCTCCGGTGACTCCTCCCCGGCCGCCCTCCGAGCTGCCAGTGCAAAGCTGAGTAGCTCCAAGGGATTGCAGTATTCCTGCAGCAGTAATTGCCATTGCTCTTGCTAAAATAACAGTAGAACTGTTGAAAACGCGTTTTGTGTGCCTGTTATGTTTAAGGAACCCTTTTGGTGAAAGCTGCGTTAAGGTCTCTTCTGATACAGGGCAGTTTGGTATCTGTTAAGCACAGGTTTTGTGTGTGCTGCTGTAGCCATCTCTCTCTTATAATAACTCTTTATTGTAACTTCTTCGGCACGGAGAGATCAGAGGTAAAGGCAGGTTTGTTCATGTCGGCCCTTATTAGAGCTTGAGCAAAGCAGGTTGGTTTAGCTCAGGTGTGACAGTGTTGTCCTACAGACACACATGCTGAGCATCTCAGAAGTGTCACCTGAACGTGGCGTTGCCGGGTGCTCAGAGATAAGAAGCACAGAGGTTATAACAGATGCAGAGACGTACAGAGGAGGATTACCAAAAGAGAGGCCGGCCCTCTTCCTTCCTGTTCCTCTTTCCCCTTGATAGAAGGAGGATTCCACGTACCCGAATGGACACCGAGCTGGGAGATGGCTGCCTCCCAGAAGAGCATGTCAGCACTTGCCACTTGATCGTCTTTTTTCTTAAGCGAAACAGCAGCTCTTCACTCCTGCGCTGTTTTTGGTTTCTTTGCTGTCTTCTTGCCAGCTGTGAATGGAATTTTACCTGTTTTGGACAACAGGATTGATTCAGCTGCCAGCCATTGTGTGTCCTGAGGCAGGACAGCAACAAAACAAGGCTCTGCAGTTGCTGATAGGGTAATTCCCCAGGCTGGCAGGTAAGCAGCAACAAGGCTCTTGTGAGAGTGAAGTGCAGCCTCATTTACTGCCTCTGTTCCACTCTGAGCTTCTGCACACCTCGCTGACTCCAGAGGCATTCATTCCTAGCTCCCAGACAGGCCACTGGTGAAGGCAAAGTGAGGAACAGACTGCCAAGACTGAGTAAAACCTCCTGGACAACTCAGGGTCCTCAGCCTTCTTTCTTTCTTTCTCTTCTCCTTCCTGTTCTCAAAGGATGCAGGGAGTTAAACCAGTGTTTGTTAAGCTGACAGGGGAGGTTCACAATGTATCATGTTCTTTTGGTCGATGCTTGAAAAGGTACTTGTAATTGCTTGCAAGGCAATATGCAAAAGAGCTTAGACCAACACCTTTTTTTATGTTCATCCCTTTTGCTTTGCAAAAGCAGACTGTGCATCTTGTGTCACTTGACAGTCTTCTGATTTATTGCCCACATCCTTTTGGTAGCTTTGCTTCTTGTGGAATTGGATATATTTTGTGTTTTAGAAGAAGGTGACTGGTTCCAATCTAAGTAATACCTAACTTTCCTGTGTTCTGCCAAACAATAATTTTTTGCAGGCAGTGTAATTTAAGCCACTGGCAGCCCACCAAGATTTTATTGTATATTTAGGGAACCTTGGTTTAATCAGTGACAGTAAATTTGAGCTGGCCTTGGTGGTGCTGGACATAATTTTGCTGAATTCCTCTTGCAACTACATTCAGATGGATGATAAAATTATTCAGATTAATCAAGGTAAGCTCTTCTTCTCTGGAAGAACTTTAGAGGAACTTTTCAAGACTTGAACAAGAGAAGCGACAAGAAGCAATTTTACTGTATTCTTATACTGGTACATAAATCAATTTAGGGGAAGACTTGGGCAGTGTTACATGTAAATCAGTTAAAGTGATGATCAGAAATACAAACACATAGGCTAGCTTGGGGGATTTAAACTCCTAAATTGAAATTGGAATTCATCCTTGCAATTTTCAACTAAAATATCTTTGTTTAATTTCCTAGTGTAGAAGAGACCTTAGATCCCTAATACATTTGTAGGGTTTTACAGAAATTGCCCCCTGGACAGATGGTGTAAAGAAGGATTTTTTTCTATTTTCCACTGAAATGTCTGGAACAGGTACAGGATTAAATAATTTTCTGTTCAGTGCAGTTATACCAGTTCTGTCTTCCACCATTGTGTCATGTTAGCAGTTACTGTAAAAGAAACCAGTAGTGATACAGTTTGATTTTCAGGTTTTGTATGTACCCTTTTAACCTTTTAAGTAATTATGCTTATATTGGCCCTTTTTCATTTTTATTCAGTATTGTCTTTCCTTTCCAGGTGGCAACAGTGCTGTGCCTGGATGTGGGCTTTACAATGAGCAATTCTTCCCCTGGTGAAGAGTCCTCACTTGAACAAGCCAAGAAGGTTATGACAAAGTTTGTGCAACGACAGGTATGTGAGACTTCATATGTGTAAAAAAAGCTGTTAAAAAGGGAGAAGAGGCAATAGCATCTATGAAAGATTTTCCTCACTTACTAATAGTTGAAATAAATGAGAAATTAGTAAGAATTAGTCTGTTTTTTATGCAGGAGTAACAGTGCTCTTTGTTTCAGCTGTATTTTTTTTGCATGAGATTGGTTTGGTCATTCTTTTTCTTCAGGGTAGTGGAAACTTTTAGGGAAAACAAGTACTATTCTCTTTCTCTAAAATGTTCCCACATTCCTAATACGTAGCACCCTGAAGACTCATTTTGTGTACTAAGTCAGCCAATTTTACTTGTTTTTCCTGGGTCTCCTCATGTCAATCTGTTAGTTGAATTATGTCTCGCTTAGTGAACTCCCTGTAAGATGATGTTTTGAGAGGCTAGCACTGAAAGTAAGGAAAAGTAAATCCATTGTATTTCACATTAGTTCAGGTTGCTGAAATCTGCCTAACATAGTTGTGTATGAATCTGTCTGTGTTTTTTACCTGTTTTTTTTATTTTCTGTGTCTCCAGGTTTTTGCTGAGAGTAAAGATGAGGTCGCTGTAGTTTTGTTTGGCACTCATGGTACTAGGAATGGTCTTGCCAGTGGGGACCAATACCAAAACATTACTGTACATAGGTCACTAATGCTGCCAGATTTTGATCTGCTGGAAGACATTCAAGATGTGATTAAACCAGGCTCTGAACAAGCAGACTGTATCCTTTTGCTGTAGAACACTTCTTGAACAGATTCAGCTATGTAGGAGACAGGAGGCCAGTGTTGTGAAATGGGCTCAGATTTGCCTCTCAAGCTTTAACTACTATCAAAGTTAAGCTAATTTGTGGTTGTAAGTTTGTCCAAAAGCAGATTAGCTGCTTTTTGACATTCTTTTAGGCTAGCAGATGGAGTCTTGGCCTTTGGGAGTAATTGCTTTTATGAAGTGTTCTGGTAATTAAGGAGAACAAAGATAATATAATTTTAGGCCTCAAATAAGCCATGTGTTTTTAAAAATAGCATTGCAGAATTTGGTTTATGCTTTTTAATAAAAAATATTATTTATGCAATCTATCAGCAGAAGTACCAGAAACCAGACTGTCGTGGTTTAAGGCCAGCTGGCAGCTCAGCCCCACACAGGCACTCGCTCGCTCCCCACCAGACCAACTCTGAATGTCCTCCCTTCCTCCTTCTTTCTCCCAGCTTTATGTGCTGAGCATGGTGCCATGTGGGGTGGGCTATCCCTTTGGTCAGTTGGGGTCAGCTGTCCTGGCTGTGTCTCCTCCCACTTCTTGTGTCCCCCCCCAGTCCTCCTCCCTTGCAGTGTGGTACAAGGACCAGAAAAAGCCTTTGCTCTGTGCAAACACTGCTCAGCAGTAACTAAAATATCTATATTATCATCTCTGTTTCCAGCACAAATCCAAAACACAGCTCTATACCAATTACTGTGAAGAAAATTAACTCTACCCCAGACAAAGCAGAATACAGATTTATCGGGTTGATTAATGTATAAAGTACTTCTTACATTGCCAGAATCACTTCCTGGTTTGAATGTTGTTCATGTTTGAATGTATTCTGTTGTTAGTTGCACGAGGTGTAGAGTTTTAAAAGAAGGTGATCTATATGGTGTTCCTTTGTGTGTTTCAGGAACATACAGTTCAATTTCCTGCATTGTCTTCCCTTTTTCTGGCCATAAAATGATTGCTGTGAGCTCCACTCAGGTAGTCAGAGCTGTTTCAGAGAAGTGTGCAGCCAGTCAGCTGGCTCACATGTTCCCAGTTGTGATGAGGAAGAAACCATCAAAAGTTTATCAGAGACAGGTGGTTTGAAGGAAAACTTGCAGGAGAAATTGGTATCATATATTTGTTGGTGGATTCAAAGGAACATTCTAAAGATTATATTGTTCCTTCATTGGACTTGAGCCTCACATTGACAGTTAAAGGATTGGGATCTGAAGCAGTCTTTTAACTGTTTCATCAGGTAAATGGGGCAGAAATAAGATCGCAAAACAGACAAGTTATGCAGGAACCTCTTGCACAGTAGTCACTTTAGAAGTATTTATCTCAAAAGAGTGTTCCTTAACTAAAATGCGCATTTGTCAGTGTTTGGGGGGGAGTGAAAACATTACATTGTTTCAAAGAAAAAACACTTGTGACATGGTTCATGTTCTAAATGACATTTTTCTTAAATTTGCTTAGTTCTGGATGCAATTATTGTGTGTATGGACTTGCTTCAGAAGGAAACAATGTGAGTATGTAACTCAAAGCCTTTTACAGAATTCTGACTTTGCACTTTGAAGCTGATTTGATCTGATTGTCAGTATTATATTTCCAGTATGTGTAAATACAGAAAATGCTTTTTTAAAAGAACCAAACATTAAAAATAAACAGCACACTAAAGGAGTCTATCTCTGAAGAGTCCTCATGAGACATCTGACTTCTCTAGACAATCTGAGAGCTTTCTGAGGCGACTGGTAACTTTGTAGTACAGTCATGAGTCTATTAATGCCATTATAGAAGGCACAAAGGCTTCACTTTGTGTCACATTCTTTGTAATCTGTTTTCAAAATTTGCATGTTAAAATGCTTAGGAAAGGGCTATCAAATTTATATTGCATATGCTACAAATTAAACAAGAAAGGTGACTTTGCTCAGCCTAGCAATTTGAAGCCTGTTGGAGGTAAGGTTTAAGTTTGTAAATATGCAGACTACGGGAAATGAACTTGTAGGACGAAACACTTTAAAGTGAAAAAAAATATTGAGACAAGTGTTACGAAGTTGTCAGTGAATGTATTTAGGCTGGAAAGGTGTTTCTAGCACTCAGTGAACTAATGGTCCAGAGAAAGGAAGGTAACTGTACTTCCTCTCAAAGCGAAGCTTGAACATGTTGCTGAAAAGGTTGTATGATCTAATCATGAGTGCAGAAGGTGAGACTTAGTGATGCAATTTGTATTTTTGTGAATAAGGTCTAATCAGTGTAGAAAGCTGTATCAGTTTAATGGTTAAAACTGAGTTGTGAATTAAAATCACTGTACTTATGGCAGTATAACCTTAAATATCTATGGGGCAACTGGTTTTGTTGTTTTGTAGGAAGTTGCCTGTATACGCTAAAACCTTTGATATGGAGTTTGCCTTCAGCTGAGAAAATACTGTAGGGTAAAAATTCAAGAAAATCACCCTTATGCAACAACATGCAGGTCACAACTCTGTCATTTTAACTGAATTTTGTTCTGTCACTGGCAGACCTTCCTGATGTGTATTGGTACTACTTCTTAGTGTGTTAAGTGGTCTTGAAAGTCCCTGTTATCCATTGAATCTACTGAATTAGAGTACTGAGATGGAATCCCCACCAGCAGCAGTAATTTAAAATACATTTTCACAAGAACATACTTACAGCTGCAAAGGAAATATCCAGTATAACCAATAAAAAACCTAACGTATTTTGTTAGCATTTTATCTACATTGGTGAAAATTGGCAGAATTCCACTCATTTAGATGTAGTTAGTGATTTATACAGTCACAGGACTAGAGTCCTCAATTTTAGGGGATAGGAGGAAATAGGGGGAATCATATAAAGATAAAAATCCTATAAGTATGGTAACCTATGATAGAATAGCTACTACCAAGTAGGTTTATTTGTTTGGATTTTTTTCTTTTACACGCTAATTACTTTGGTAAAGCATCAATTTTGTAAGGAAATATTTAGCAAAAGGCCTTATAGATAATATTTTCAATATATGTATTTTTTCTTGTACTTTAAGAGGAAAGAAATATGAGAAGAGACACATTGAACTGTTTACAGACCTTAATAGTCCTGTCAGTGAGGATCAGCTGGAAATTATCATAGCTAACTTGAAGAAAACAGGAATTTCACTTCAGTTCTTGTAAGTATGAAAGTGACTGTTATACACGATGCCATTTCTTTAAAGGGAAACTGTTATGCTTTCTTAATAATGATCTTGAAAGAGCTGGTGATCTGTTGGTGTATGGTTTCTGTAGAGGTGTACCAGTAAGTAATATGATTATTATAAGTACTTCTATCAATGCTACATGCCATGAAATCGAGTTATGGACCAAGTCCTCTTGATTCAGTGATGTGCAAATAAATGTTAAGATGATGGCTTCTTCTCCACTTATGGTTATAGCTTAGAACCACAGTCTAAAATGGGAGACAAAAGATCTGTATAAGCAGAGAAAGGGGAAACAATGAGCCAGAAATAGCCTCAGAAACAGTGGGTTTATCACAGCAACAGCCTAGATCCTTTTAGGTAAGGGAGTTACTGGGAAAAATTAATGAGGTAGTGTTGCAGATATTTATAGCCTGATTCTGGTGTCAGTGGAAGAGCAAGTCTGAAGAGAAGGGTTTTATTCACAACAATGGGCTTGGAAAATGAGAACGATGTCTTACATATTATAACAGGAGTCCCTTGATTGTCATGGTATGGGCATTGATCTGAAGATTCAATGTTGATGCTGAGATCTGTATTAGCTGTTGCATGTGATGGTAACATAGGAAGCCATAGGCCTTCTGGAGAAATTTGTTTAAAAGCAAAACTCTGTGTGAATGTTAGTGTTTACTGTTTATAACAAATAATGTAACAGGAGAAAGTTAAAGCTGTAGTTTTACTTAAGGCCATTTTAGTATTTACTTTTACCTGGATCCAGCATTCTGTAAGGAAAAATGCTTGAACTTAGTAAATTCGTTGAAGCCATTTGCCAACCCATCTGCAAGATAACAGAGAGATTAGGTAGAAAAACATGACTGAAAATCATGGACTGATCCTCCACAAAAAATCTTTTTTTGCCTGTGCTTAGGGGAGGCTGAAAGTAAAAATGTCAGGTTCTGTCTACACAGCAAAAGCAGGTATGCTTGTAATGTGCCTTGACATGACCCTGCTGCTCATTTGAGCCATTTTTGGCACTGGAAGCAGTGGAGATGCAACATCATGAATCCTCCAATCAGTCAGACTACATCTTTTGGAGACCCGGTATTTAGCTCCTGCTCTCTTGTTTCCATACCTGTTTGCTGTGCAGGCTAGCACAGATGCTGATACCACAAGTTGATGTTGCAGTTTTTTTCCGTGAGATTTCTGATACATCTTTACATTTTCTTTGTAACATAGCAAAGAAAAAAAACCCTTTGGCTAAGAGAAGCTCAAGGGAAATGTTGCTGTTACAGCACTGGCTGCAGATTTACACACTATCTCCCAGCCACACGAGCAAAGGATGATTTAAGAAATACATGTACAAATGTAAAATACTCGAGGTACTAGTTTAAAAATAATTTCTTGCTGAACCTTGTAGTTTTATTATGGCCTATGCTTCCATGTCTTATGCCCTGTTTATAGATTTGTAACTTCTGGCATATAGTTGTTTTTCCTCCCTGTTATCAGGTGCCAAGCACACACTGAGCACTGTGTAGGGTTAGGTATTATGCAGTTCTCATCACAGTAGTCTCTAGGCATTGTATAGTGAAAGTAGCCTAACTTTTTTGTATCAGAGGATTGAAACTTTTTGCTGTAATAACAGCTTTAAAATACAGTTTCTCTATTTATCAGCGGATGCTGCTTCCTAAAAAGGTACCTAACACTTTGCTGAAGCTTGATCTTTAATTTTGCTTTATGTGACATTGTTGTGTATATTGTTAACTCTGCTTATTATGTTTCTTGATGGATAAGTTTCGTGAGGACTAATGAGGTGGAAGTATGGTAAAGATCTGTAGGCTGCTTTTTTGGAAACATAATACAGTGGTAAAGTTATTTTACTTTGTGGAAATGTGCTAAAAGGCATCATGTGGTTCATTTAAAATTGAATCAGATAAAAGACTTGAAAAATCTGCAGGCATTATGAGGGCCACAGAGTAGAGGATCTTACACATCTTTCTTTTCTGTGTTTATTATACCTAGTTAACTCTCCTGTATTTTGAAGAGCAGCAAAATCATTTTATCTATAACCCCTGGCTAAATTTTTAAGTCTGATTCATGAAGTGCAGGAAAATGTGTCATCTTCAGTCAGAAATTCACCAAGTGTTGTAAGCTATTAAAATCTCAAAGAGTAACATTTATTCCAGAAATACTCAATAGCCTCACTGCAGAGAACTGCAGTCCCATTTGCTGGATTTGGAACCAATACAGAATCACAGGCCTGGAATGGCCTTTAACAAGTCATCTGGAGCAGTCCTCTACTTCAGACTGGGTCAGCTTTATGCATGTCATCGCTGACCAGTGTTTGTCTAATCTTCCGGTAAAGATTTGCCATGAAAGTGGAGACTCTTTTCTCTCCTCAGGCAGTTGATTTTAGAGATTATGGTTTGAAATACCTTTATGAGGTTTCTGAATATCTGACTTGACTCCATGATGTGATTGCAGAGCAGGCTGAATATGAAGAACTCATTGTTTCCTTCTCTGCAACAGCCTTTTATATGTAAGGCTGTCTTGCCATCTGATTCACTTCTCTATGGGCTTTATTTTGTTGAATCTTTTTTCATAGATCTTGGTTTCTAATCAGCATTAACTTTCCTATCTAATCCATTCCTGTATGTGGATGCCTTTATTGATGCATGATACCCAGAAACGGTGCATCACTCTGGTCAAGATGTCACCAATGCTAACTAGACCCAAAATACTACTTCATTTGTTTTCCAAGCCATGTGACTCTTTATACATCTGACTGCAGCTAAATAGAATTATTGATCCTGATAAAAATTTTGTTTTGTTTTGATTGGTTATTTTAATAAAGAAAAAATCAAACTAACTGCTTCTGCTTGTGTTCTTAGTCTGCCATTTCAAGTGGGTATTGATGATGGAAGTGGAGATACAACTGCCAGTGTACATTCTCATATGCACAGAAACTCATTTCCAATAAAGAGTTTAACTGAACAACAGAAACGGGGTATTGATGTGGTGAGGAAACTCATGCATACTTTGGATGAAGAAGGAGGGCTGGAAGAAATTTATACTTTCAGGTAAACTTGGCTAATCCTGTTTATTGTACTATAAATTTACTTTCTGGTTTCTTCTCTGAAAGATGAAATTAATTAAGTAATCAATCCCTTGACTTACTGTTTCACTGAAGTCAGTGAATTTTATAACTTATTGTACACTTAGTCCCTTTCATACAGCTTCTTCAGTAGCTTTAGAATAAGTAGAAGAGCTTATAGATTTCAGAGGAAAATGAATTTTCTGTATCTATATTTAAAGAAAAAAAAGTTTTTCTTCCATCTTTATTGTTGGAAGATTTTGGAGGTAATGTTTATATATATGGCATTTCAAAAGCATGTTATGGAAAGAGATGAAATTTGTGACATAGTACAGCTAGAACATTTGCATTTCATGGTTGCCTGTGTTCCTTGGTCTCAGACTTCTTTTAGCTCACTGGTTTGATAAACTCCCACAAATGTTTTGAGTAATGTTTGTTGAATCCTGCTCTCTAACCACAGTCTGCTGTGCCACTGTGACAAACAATATACTTTTTCAGCAGCATTCCTAATGCAAGAATTAAAAGACGATTTTTCGCTTCTTATTTCCCCAATGAAAGAATAAAAATTCATGTGTTTCTGAAAAAAATATAGCTAATGATATATCCAGGACTTTTCCACATAGGTGTTGTCTCAGCTGGGCAACAGGCAAAATGCATCTACATGCCTTATTGAAGTCTGATGTTACTGTTTCTTTTCTGCAGTTATGAAGTGTGGTCTTTTAGACCACAGGAAGCTCAGCAGACCATAGCTGTAATGTGATTATCCAATGTAATTTTTACAGGAGGGTGGTACCTGTAGGTTTGCATGCTGTTATTCATCATTTTATTTGTGGGGTTTCCTTTCCTCACCCAACTCAGCTGATAGGCTTTGTACCTCAGCAGCCAGTTAAACTGCTACTTGAGCATTACTGTGCATTAGTGAAGAAATATGTATCGCTGTATATGTGTTCCATACTAGTCAAGAGAACAGTCTGAGACTCTAGAAAAAAGCAGGCTTTGTCATTGCATCAAAAGACTGCACAGAAAATTGGTATCTTTCCTGGACCGTTTATCCTTTAGGATAATCCATATGCATGAAGCTACCATGTGGCTTGGCTTCTTCTTTATGCTTTTTTTATCCCAGGCTGTTGCTGCTGTATAAGCTGTTTTTGTGCCATACTTCCAGGGGAAATCCAAAATCTCTGGATAAACAGGCATTTGGCTAATAGATTAAAGCTTTAGTTGAAAAAGTTGTTTAAGAATATGTGAGGTTTTAGATGCAATTAAGTTGCTTATCAAGCTTTAAGAAGCCAGCTTTGCAAATCTGTCGTGATAATTGACCAACTCAGATACACTCTTCGTTTTCCAAGAGTTGTTATTCCTGCTGGTAAAAATATTTCAGCACTTGTAAGAATAAATTAACCATGCCAGGAAAGTAAGTGAGGAAATTTTGTTGTGATTTTTTAAAATTGTGATATTCTGGACAGGAATATCCCCTGCCTCTGGGGGAAGGGAATGGAGAGCAGAGGACAAGGAACATGTTCTTAAAATACAAGTTGAAATGTACATTTACTAGGGTTTGATTTTTATGAGCTGTCTTTGATAACAGGCAGCATTTTTCTTCTACAAGAAATTAAAGGATAGAGTTAATGAATTGAGCTTAAGTGACATTTTTAGGCATTTGGCACTTACGTATTTGATTTTCACATTCATCCTGGAATCTATGTGTTGCAGTACTTTTAATGATGTAGTAACAGATTCCTTTTAAAAATCCTATATTGGCGTCTTTATTGCTAGAAAAAAAAATCCTCCCTTCCTTTCCGTAAGGAAAAAAAATAAAAGAGGAAATTCAGTGTTTATCTCATTATAAAAGTCCCAGTGCATTTTCCCCTTTCATTGTGCTTCTGTTAGAATTTGAAAAAAACCCTGCTCATCCTTAGAAACCTGAAAAGTAGAATGAATTTTGTACTGGAGTTTTTAGCAGTTGATCTTGATTTCTGCCAGACAAGTGCTTTAATCAAGAGAGAGATAGATTTCGGGTTTTATCGTAATGTGAAAAAGATGAGGTCAGCATTGTGCTGTGCTTCATGCAATAAAAAAGCTTTGTCTGTGTTGGAATTTTACAGCAAAATAGCCAATATAGTTTGTACGAGCTGAAAGCTGTTCTGAGGTGTCAACCTATTTGAATTCACAATGATATATTATAAATTACTGTAAATTTTTAATTCTTGGACTCCATTGCTTAAAGCTGTGCAATTAAGCTAACACTTTTTAGTATAAAATCATTACAGTTCTTTTTTGTGTGTGTTTTTTGAACTTGTATGTCTGCTGATTGGGCTAGAAATAATCAAAGTAACTTCTTTCATTCTGACAAAATATCCTTAAAATAATGAGTTCGTTAGTACTGTATTAAAAAAAGTGTCAAAAGTGAAGTTCTACAGAAACAAAATCCTTTTACTTGAACCTGAATTCTTCACCTTCACTGTAGAAAACATTTTAACCATTTAGAGACCCTTTTCTAATTTGTGTTCTTCCGTTTTAGCTACATGTTCTAATTGGGTGAGCACAGATAAATGTAAGATGCTTAGTAAGCAATTGTGTAGTTTCACCACAAGACCTAACACAGCGTCTTTGAGCCTTAATGTCACACCACCCGCTGTAAAGGCTCAACATGGGTATAATCTACTGTACCACCTCTTTTTTCATTCTCTTTTGTGACAATGTTTAATGATACAGTTTATTTTCTAATGCTTAGTGCAGTCTAAGCTGAAATAGTTGGACTTATGCATTTCCTTAAAGACAGTGTACTGTCTATAGTATTTTATTACAGTTCACCAATGTTCATTTGTTTTCCTGATTCCTTCCTTTAGAGAGAGTCTGGAACGTCTTTCAATGTTTAAGAAAATTGAAAGAAGGCCTATGCCTTGGCCTTGCCAGCTCACTATTGGTTCTAATCTGTCCATAAGGATTGTGGCCTACAAAGCAGTAAGTTCATAAAGTCATGTATTTTAATGTAATTTGGCAGCAAGTTAGGTGCAGCTGCATCTTTTTTTCCTGAAAGTTAAGAAAATAAAAAGTAAAACAACAACCAGATAATTAGGGTAGAGATTTCTATGTGCTTAGAAGCCAGTACATCTAAAACTGTGGTTCCCACAGCAACTTTAACTTCACCATATTGTATACATGTTAAATAACTAAAATTTACAATGTACAGAAATAGAAGTAATTGCTGTCTGTGCTGTGACACTTAATGGTATTGAAGTCGATGAACCTGATTAAGAATGCTGTGATTGTTGAAGCTTTACATTCAGCATCACTGATATGTCTGCAGCTCCAGTGAGACACATATATCTCTTAAGGCCCAGGCATGAGAGGAATTTTGCACATGAGTACGTAAAATGGTGGCTTAAAATGTTTTACCAACCATTGTTTCAAATCCTATCTCTTGTTATTTCAGACTTGGAAAAAAAAAGGTGTATTTTTTTAGCTTGTTTTTCTTGTACTGTTTGGTGGAGCTTGAGCCCAGTCTGTTTCCTTTACATTTTATATGGATTTTTCACACAGTGCTAGGAAGAAGTAAGTGTAATTAAACACGTAAAACGTGTAAATGTCCAGTTATAGAATAGTTAATAGGTAACTATATAGTGTGGCAGTATTGCTCGATCTGGTGAGATGGAGATTAATTGGTTTGTTATTTGAACCCAGGACTAGGAGTCTGGTATATAAATTGAAATATATCTGATTTTTGACAGATAAGCATACTAGCCTTGAAAGAGATCAGCTTTCTATTTATACTTATTCATAATTTTTTATTAGGCTATTGTGCCAGACCTGTTCAAATATGCAGAAAGAGTCCCCTCCCAAAGGTTCTTACACAGAAAGTAAACTGTTTGGGAGAGTAAGCAACATGAACTGAGTGACTGGCCTGAGGTCATACAGCAACCCTGCTGATGTAATCTATTCTGTCTTTACTGTTTCTGCCTATTCTACACTTTTCTTCTCATGCACTAACTGTACCATCAATTGCACTTAAGTAGAGAGAAAAGAAAGGGCTATAGGAAATAAGATACATAACAAGCAAGTTACATGTTATCCTGTGACTTAGACTTCCACAAATGACTTAATCTAAGGGTTTAATGAATAACCAAGAGAAATATGCAGTCAGAAATATGCTACAGTTCATGTGTTAGGTCTCATACAGATGAAACAGTGTGGTGGAAGCACTGTGGTAGCAGCCAGAGATGCGTATTTGGGGCTGTCATTATTGGTCCCTTATTGGCAAAACAGTGCAGCACTGTGTTTGAGATTATTTTTTTTTTTTTTGCCTTTTCTGGTAAGTACTCTGTATCCTACTGAAATGTTAAACATTCCTTTTCTTTGAATTCTGATATCAAGGTCACAGAAGAGAAGGTGAAAAAAATTTGGACAGTTGTGGATGCTAAAACCCTTAGAAGAGATGATGTGCAGAAAGAAACTGTTTACTGCTTGAATGATGATGATGAGACAGAGGTTCCGAAAGATGATACTATTCAAGGTACAGCATCTTTATGTGCACCCTGAAGACAAAATGAAGATAATGGCTTGTACTCTTAAGTCACCTGAGTGCCTTTTAGTTTATACCTTGATGCCTAGCTGTGATCTTAGAATGTAAGCTCTGCAGGCTGATGGAACACAGCAACTGTTATGTGAGACTCTGTCTTCACATATTTTGGAAATTCTTACTTTTGCCAGTATTAGGAATTATAGTAATACCACCAGCTGGAACTTGGGAGGCACTACAGCTTCCTAAACTATGCTCTGTGGAGGTGCATACCTCAGTTTTGTAGTGAGTAGTGCTGCTTCCTCTGTTCTGTTTTCAGATCTCCAGCTGTACTGATAATGCAAATGCTTTCATAGCACTGCTTTTTTCTAGATGAGCAACTGCTCTAGTTATTCTGCAATTGGAAAGATGAAACCATCAAAGGAAGGTTTAGTGTTCAAGAGCCTTTTAGCTTTAAGAGGTTCAATCTGAAGTAGTGGCATGCAGAACACTTCTCTTAGAACCTACAGCTTCTTTCTGAGCAGATTAATTTCCTTAGAAGACTAAGGCCCCAGAAACAGCAGGAAATATGTACTTATTTTTAAAAATGGAGTTAAGCAAATCAGTTTAATTTTTTGCAATTGTATAGATGTATTTTGTTACTAGTTTTTTTCCTTTCCTTTGCTGTTTGAATCCCACACAAGTAGGGCAAGTATATTAACTATAAAGGGCAGAACTATTCAGATAACAGTATATAAAGTGCTGTTGGATGAATAACATAAATTGAAAATTAAGATAAATACTGGGGGTTTTTGTTTAATCTTTTTCAATTTTAGTATTCATAGAGGTGTTTTGTAGCAGTATCAGATAAAGTCCCAATGACAGTGTAATTTTCTTTAAGTGGAAATGATAGTTAAAAGCTAATAGTCTATTTATGTTTTATAACTTCAAAACTATGTATAAAAAAATCCACTTCTTATAGTAAATATATTTTGAAGCATTTGTGACTGTTCTCAGTTAATCTGCTGACTGCTTATGTTAGGAAGTAGTTGTGGGATAGTAGTAAAAAAGAAGTTAAGCAAGTTTAGTGTGAAGAAAAGAGGCCAAAAATTTCCCTGTCAGTGGTGTGATATTTCTTATGCTTAAAGAGCTGCTGATGCCTCCTGGACTTTTGCAGATCTTTTGAGAAATGTTGTAATTAGAGAATCCTTTGTGTTTGCAGTACCCATAGTGAAATTTCTTTCATTCTGCCTGTGTCATTGCTTTTCAGTTTGCAGGAAAATATATCTGCTTGTAGGTTTTTCCTCCAGGGATTTACCTCTGTTCCTTCTGCTTTCCTCGCACCTGAGGATATATCATCCCTAGTCTGTGGCAGTACAATAAAGTGATGATGTTACAGTGAGGTTATTGGAGCTTGAGGTAGGGGAATAAGCAGTTGGAACAGATGATACCTCTGAGAAATTACAGCTTCCTGCTTAGTGGAGATACACCTGTGATGTAAGGCATGGGAAGTAAAACACGGAAATGTATAGAAAGACCAGTTCTGCATACAAGAGTGATTTGGTTTTCCATTGTGTGAGGGTGTATTTTGCTTCCAGTGTTAATACATTTTATTCCCTGAATCTTTTCAGGTGTCATCTCCTGTGGTATGATTTGTGGTATGTTTGAAGTTTTTCATATTATACTTGCAGGGAGTGTTGCAATCTGTTTACTGAAATCTATTCTGTGAGGATAACTTTGGGCAAGATGTGTGGTTCCCTTATTTTCTTTCCTGCTCTCTGAGGGTACTTGTGTTACATAAAATGATGTACAAGGAGTGCAACTGCTGTTCATGAAGTACATAATGCATATATGGGTGTGTGTGTTTTTTGTTAACAGGGAAAGTAATTTGATGAGCATGTGTGGAACGTAGCTGTGGGGCATGAATGCATTGTTAAAATATTCAGAGAGCTAATTTTGGTGTTTAAAATCATAGGCCCATATGCTTACCAGATGCTCTTCTCTTGTTCTCCAGGTTTTCGGTATGGGAGCGATATAGTTCCTTTTTCCAAGGAAGATGAAGAGCAAATGAAATACAAAACAGAAGGAAAATGTTTTTCTGTTTTGGGATTCACTAGATCGTCTCAGGTATGGTACTAAATTTCTTCCTATTCAACTTCCTGGATTATTCAGTACAATCAATTTTGGTTTGAATTCACTAAAGTCAAGGTATTGTACTGGGTTTCAGTACTTGGAATTGGGCATTTACAGTCAGGTATGCAGGGGTGACTTACTTGCTGAGTCTAGTACATGTAAGCAGTATGTGGTCTTGTGAAGGAACGAAGCTCAAAAATGTGGCTATTGGACCCTCACATGAAGCCAGAGCCACTGAACTCAGATCTCTGCAAAGTGAAGACTGAGCTATTGTGGTGTCATTTCATCTCACAAACTTAAATGCTGATGTCAGACCTGCAGCAGAACATGGTCTGTCTTCTGTTCAGCTCATGCAGCAGCCTTTTTGGCTTTGTCCAGCCACGAGTGTGGCTTCTTTTTAACAGAAGATGCTGCTCCCTTAACATTATTTTTAAAGAAAGTGTGAGAACTGAGTCCATTCATTCATCCTCAGTTTCATAAGGATTAGTTTGTGAACCGTAACTTTCTTCTTGTTTCTACCATTAAAAAAAACCCTAAATGTCATGAAGACTTCTTAGAACTTAGACAAAGATAATATCATTCAAAAACTCTCCGTATTTCCATGAGATGCTTGGTGTTTGTATGCACTTACCTGTACTTGGGGTAGTGACTTTGCTATTCTTTTTACCTGACAGTTGTAAGAAACTTACATTGAGCAAGTACCTTAATAAAAGTTAGCCAGCACAAGGTGATTTCCTGCAGGAAATCCAGGACTTAAGAATTAGGAAAGCCTTAGACAAAGGCTTAACAAAACTATTCTTGAAGTAGGACACATGAGGAGAAAGTACAGAGATGTGAGTGCCAAGTAATTGCTGGGAATGTTAGCTGCTCCCTCTCTTTTTTTCTCCTGGATATTTCAGCACAAGGTGACTGAAACTTTACTCTTCTTGGAGTTATCTGCACCCAGTTCTCTTCACCAATCAAAACTAAAATGAAATCATAGGGCAGCTCTATGCCTTCTGTTTTGACAGCTCCCAGCCCTCCTGCTCTTTGACATGTCTCAATGCCTGAACAAAATAGAACCCTTGATAAAGGCTGAGGAATCATAACCTTTACCAGGAAGGAAGTATGCTAATGAAATAGAAAGTATCCGAGGGAGCTTACTCCCAAACAGGTGTAGCTAAACATTCTTTTACTTTACAGTACAGTTGGCACAGAGACTCCTGCGTGTTGCTGGATGTGTGCTTAGACTACTGCAGTGCAGTGTCAAAAAACATATTATTAACTGAGAAGCTAGAAAGTTATGTTGATTTATTGAAATGCAAAGCCAGCCTAAATGGAAAGTGTAACGTGATTGTTCCTTGAGGACTTTGAGAACTTAGTTGTTAAGGAACACAGGAGCTTGTGTACTGCAAGTAATTGATGGAGGAAACATGTCGGGCTTGAGCTTACGTGCCCTAAATTGGCCAGGGCCAGAGAAGTGTTGAGAAGTGCTACATCCTGCACCAGAAACTGGATCTAACAAGGGAAATGTGTCTGAATCCAGTGTTTCAATGAGACAATTTCTTGCATCTCTTCATACGTCATTAGCCTACAGCTTAGTCTTATTATCTTCATTTCTTACACTGGAGGCTGGCCTCCTCTTTTGACTTGAAATCTGACTTTTATTGAAAATGGAAACGAAGAGGGAAACAGATGAGGTAAATCATGCTCCTGTAAGTGAGCTGTTATTTCACGTGGGTTTTTATTTTCCCACCATTGGTCAGATAGTGCAGTGATACCTCCAACTTCATAGTTAATAACTGTAGGAATACCATCAATTTTAGGAATATTTTTGGTTCACATAAATATGCATCGAAGAATTAACTATTTGGTTTTATTATTTTTCAATGCACAAAATATTGATTGCTTTTGATTAGTATATACTTTTCTTGTCTGTGGATTTCATAATGGATAGAAATTTTATCCTAAAGTGTGCTCTGGTCCTGGTGCTAGGAGTGTGAGTAGTTATGACCAATAGTAGAAGCATATAACTCAGTGGAATAAAATTATTCAGGTGTGATTGTGGAATTAAAATTTAAGTGTATAGATAATGATATCAGGAACTTTTTTGACTAAAACTGGAATTTTCAAGACCTATGCTTTCACTAAGTTTTGGCTCCTAAATTTTATTGTTTGGAATCATAAAACTGACACTATTCAACTATATGTTTTATAAAAATTGTTTCTTTTTAAAACTTAGGAGAAAAGATAATTTATTATTAACTAGAAAAACTGGAACAGCTCCAAATACATAATTAAAGAAGAAATAGAACCACCTCATATTATTTTCCTGAGTTATTCACATCCCTCAGGAAAGAAGATCAGAAGGCGCTTAAACTTTGATTTTTAATTTATAAGCCGTGCCATGTAAATTGAGAAATAATACTTGAAAATGTTACAAAGGGAAATTTTTTTTTTTGCAAACAAAAAAGGTGTAGTGATACACACATCTAGTTATTTATGCTATACTGAACATAAAATTTCCTGAGCTTTTAAAGACAGAAAGCAGAGAATGATTGTAGGTAGAATAATCTGAGCTGAAGAATCGTGCTGTAACAGTAAATAGGTCTGCTCTGGTGCAAGTTGTCACTGACTTCAACAAACTTACAGTAATTTGCTAAATAAAGAAGGTATAATAAAAAGATGAAATGAATGAAAAAAATTTTTTTAAAAAAATAATAATATAATGAAGTTAGTTTTGAGACTGTAATTTGAAGAGTTTTTTCGTTAACAGAGAGAGGTCATTTTAACAAGTGTTCATAGTAGTGTGCAGTCTTTGTGACAAGTTTTCCACTCTTGCAGGGTACCTGTGCTTGTGTCTCAGTCTTTGTAGCTCCAACTATGCCAGTGATGTCCCTTCATGAAACTATTTTTTGTTTTTTTGTTTCTGAGCCAGCCATGTTCATGAACAGAATAAACGTCTGCTAACAGAAGTGCTTCTTTGCCAGCACAGCTATATATACTCCAGGTTACTGTCAAGGAAGGTTTATTAATTAAGGATGTGACTTTTTTCAGCTCCTTTTTGATGTATCTCTGCTAGAAAAAATTAATAGCATAGATGTGGTGTCATTTGGGTTTGGGTCTTGTATTAACTACTGTGGTTTTTCACACTGACCTTTGAATTACTGCAGTATTATTCAGACTGGTAACAGCTGCAGGTACTACAGTCTTTCATTCCTGCCCATCAGAAGGAAGGTATAAGAATATCCTGCCCAATATGATTGAATATCCATGTTGTGTGATAAATGGAGATATGGGCTTACAGAACTTTAACATACAAGGCTTTAACCTCTGTGCACAGTGATTATTCAAGTGAGAAGCCACAAAATTTGATGTTAGTTGTTTTGTAATTTAATTGGTCCAGTTGCATTAGTGACATTTTCTTTACATCAGGCTTACTTTTGGCCATTTGTATCTAGATCCAGAGGCATTACTACATGGGCAACCAGGTTCTGAAGGTCTTTGCAGCAAAAGGTGATGAGGTAAGGTGAACTGAAGTTTAAATGCTGTTTAATGCTGAAGGTATTTTGCTGTGGAATGGAAAAGAATAGTAGTGGCGCTTGAGATTGTCCTGTCTTTCTGCGTTAATAAATACTTTTAATGCAGTTTACAGAAGTCTTGTTCCATTGCCCATTAGGATGAAAATAAGTTGGATTAGATCCCAAATGAATACAGTATCTCATGAATAATGAGCAACTGGTATTGTGTTTGTGCAAGGGCATGTGGAACCTGAAATTGGTGCTTAAGTCCATTCTCCTGTAGAGCAACAGTGTGTCCTGTCCTGTGTTATTTAGAACAGACCTCCAAATTATTTTAAGTATTGTAGGTAAAAGGCTCACTGTGGTGCTTTTAATGAGTACCTTTCAGAGTCTGACTTCCTCCCTCTTGTAATACTTCTGAGAGCTCTTCTTCTTCTGGTGAAAAAGGTGGAATGTGCTGGATCTGAAGTTTACTCAGCTTTGAATGGATCCACTATCAGGATGAGATTTGACCTTTCTGCTTCTTCAGTTTTTGAACGTGAAAAATGCTTGTGTTCAAGTTACAGCTGAAATGGGAACTAGTCTTGACTAAATAAGTGCTTTTAAATTCACTGTGAAAGATGTATTTCAGCAGATGAATAAGAACTTGCATGATTCTGTTGCCTCTCTTTTCCCCCCCTAGAATGCAGCAGTTGCTTTTTCTGCCCTTGTTCGTGCACTGGATGAGTTGAAAGTGGTAGCTATCGTGCGCTATGCTTATGATAGAAGGAGCAACCCACAGATTGGAGTAGCTTTTCCGTATATTAAGGAAGCATATGAGGTAATTTTTCACTCTTACCCTTCTGCAGAGAGCCTTCTGAGAGACCCAGAAGCAACACAGTATGTGAGAATTTTTGCAGCATATGTTTCAACTGATCTTAGTTACGAGAGACTATTGAAAGAGCTAAATATGTATATGGCTGAGCAGTGACGGAGGTGGGGGTGGACACAACAATCTTCAGACTTTTGAAGGGTATAAACATAAAGGATAGAAAGGAATTTTTTAGGGTGGCATGAACTGGAGGAGGTATTTCAGTAAAGAAAAAATGAGGCAGAGAACGTTAAGAAACCAAAACCAGCTTTTGACTTTGAAACACAGTAAGCTATGATAAAACCTCCCAAAGCGCCAATATATGGGTTATTTAAAGCATGGCTGGTTGAAACTCTGCACAAGAAAAAGGGATCAGATGGTCTCGCAGGTCTTTATTCCACCAGTAGAAAAATGAGGAGTGCAACCATCAGTATCTTATAAAATATAATGGTGTGTTTTATTCTGATTAAAACTGTTGCTCTGTAAATATTTTATTTAAATATTTTAATACACACAAACATTAGGTCTTCAGATTTTTCTTATGTTTATATTGTCCTGATATGGCACTCTGGGGATACAGATATTTGTTTTTCTTCAGGCTTAGTTGTTTCTTCTTTCCTCTTGCTCAGTGTCTCATCTATGTGCAACTACCCTACATGGAAGACCTAAGACAGTACATATTTTCATCCTTGAAAAACAATAAAAAATGCATTCCTACAGGTGAGGTATTTGCTGATCAACTGGAAAAGTAACCTTCTTGTCGTCTTCTAAGATGTGCTATCCAATGAAAACATAAGTTATTGTCATTATTTTGCCTTGGGGGAAAAAAACCCCAACCATTTGGGCATCATTTATGGTGATGTCATCTTGAAGTGTAAGTGTGTAACAAACTTTGCCACTTTAAGTTGCAAGCTCAGCAGACTTGAAGTTTGCAGGCTGTCCTTTAAACTGTTCTGTTAAATGACTTCTGGCTCTGGTTGTGGGATCATCAGTCTCACAGGATCTGTATGACAGATCTGAGATTTACTCCTCTGTGTCCTTTGATCTTTGAACTAATTTGTGAGACTAAATGGCCAAACCTTGTGGGATCTACAGTGTGTGATTATCAGGCTAGAATTAGAACAGAGGCAGCTGCTCCATTGGTGTAAATTTGGTCCTGCAGCCAGTTGCAGTGTGGCCTGTTAATATAGTGCACAAAGGCAAAGACTGTATTTTCTGTGGCGTGTTGTTTATTAAACTATGCACTTACTGGTGTCCAGATTCAGATGGAGGGCATCTTTGGAGAACCGTAGGACATTGAACCACACAAAACTTGACTCACTGTTCAGAGAATTTTGTATAGCAATGAGTCTAAATGGTTGTAGTTTAAAATCCACTCCTACTTCTTTCAGTTGTTATGAGATCCGTTGAATGGGCACCTGCACATCAGGGTATACATAGCATGCTGGTTTGTTTCTGAAACAGTTTCTATTTTCTTGCCTGTAACCAGCAGTTTAAGAACAAATTTAAAACCTGTCTTGCCAAAGCGGTAGTTGGCTATTGTGAACTGTGTTAATTTGCAGTCATAACTTTAAAAATTTATATTGTGCCATTTAGTTTTTCAAACCAACTGTTCTCCTTATTTTCTAAGTGGCCTATAAACCTTCTGTTGCAAATGAAAACATCTTGAAAAAGAAAAAAAAATTAAAGCAGAAAGGCAACAATAATTGAGGTCTTGGGGAAAAAAAGAAAAGGCTTTATGACTTTACACTGTAGTCCTTAAATACAGCAGGGGTTTATTATTCTGTCCGTTATCCATAGTCTTTATTGGTACATCTAAAACTGCAGTGTATTCTGTGGCGTGTAATGACTTGGTAAAAATCTCATGTTGTGATCTCATGTGAACCGAATCTTCATTTATAAATTGTTTCAAGAAATGCATCCATCTGGAAGTGTATTTAATTTTTCTTTGTATGTAATTGCTGCCTTAGTGGATCAGTTGTCTGCTGTTGACTCATTGATTGATTCTATGAATTTGGTTTATGAAGATGGAGAAACTTTTGAGGACCTGTTTAAGCCCAGCAAAATCCCAAACCCTCACTTTCAGAGGTTATATCAGGTGAGGTGAACTCTTTGACATTTTTTAAAAACTTCTTTTGTTGAGACTTTTCATCTTTCTGTCTTTCTTTGATTCACATTGGAAAGATCTGCATTGTGAAGATGCAGCTATAAAATCTTCTGCATTTTAAGTATGGGGTAGCTGGTGACTTTTATGTTGTCCCTGACATAGATTTATTTTTAAAATTTCCAGTTCCCAGGAAGCAAGAGAAATTATACCCGTGCTGAGGTCTCTGCAGCAGCATCAGTGATATTCACAGGCACTTAGACTAGATAAATAAAAACTTGAATCTTCAGACTGTGTTGCAGTGATCACAGTGTGGACATAGACTGTCTTCAGCTTTTGGGCAAAGAGAAAAATGAGCTGAAAATCATGGATCTCTTTAGCTTCTCATTCTGTGTCCTATCACTTTTCTGTGCATTGTTGCATCTAGCAGTGATTTCAAACCAGGTCAGTCTGAGGTGAACTTGTTCAGTAGTAAATGGTTAACATTGTTGACATTTAAAATGTTCCATTTGGGTGTCTAAGCTGATGCACTTTATGGGCAAGCAGAATGGTTTACACTTCTTGCAGTTATTGTATCAAGCTGTCTGCATTTTGATTTACATCCTTTCATATAATGAAGACTTTCATTGCAACTGTGAGGATGAGAGACTTAATTATACATTGGAATTCAAGTGTTCAAAAAATGACACAGCAAATTTAAAAATAAGGAAAATTATGTTGCAATTTATGCAGCTGCAGAATTGTGTAGTATACAGAACCATGGAGATATATTGAATGTGTGACTCTTCTTTGAAAATTGACCAAAAATGGTATTATAGCAACTATGTTCATCATATCTCAGCAATTCCGAATTATTTATTTCAGTTTACAAGTAGGAAGAAGATACTTTTTAAGTTAAGAAAACTTACCTTAACTTCCCAAAGCCTTGCTACCTCGTACTGTCAAAAGAACCAAAGGATCTGAAGGTCATTGTGTGTTTTAGGAACACATGTAAGCTCAGTCTTCAAATCCTACTCTGATTGACACCTGAAGAACTCAGTGTTCTCTTCAAATTCTGCCAGTCATATTGACAAGACAAGTGTGCAACTGAATGCAAGATTTGATCAGTAGAAGGTTATTGCAGGGCAAGAGCTTAAAATGAACTGACCTCTGCACAACTCTTATTTTAGGAAGGATTGTTAAGCTTGGGTGTTGCAAAACAAATATGGCTTTTCTTGTAAATGAAACACATAGGGGATAGAATTTCCTGTGTTATATTGCTAGATGCAATTTTGCATTTTTTTGGTTTAGTGGATGCCACCTATCAATGAAAGAGAGGATTTTATAGGTGTGCTGTTTGTCTTCTGAAATGGTATGATGATGTTGTCCCAGCATTTGAGTCAAGTGCTGCTAGAAGAGAGTAACTGCGTAGCTCACCAGTTTCCTTAGAGGATAATGGGATTTTGTAAGGGTGAATGCTATTGATGGAAAAAGTATTTATTGACTGTTTGAATGTACAAGGTAGGATACAGTTTCTGTCCACAATGCTTGCTGTTTAGAAAGCCCTAAATTACTAGTCCTCTTAGTGCTTTCTTTTGGCTATGCGCAGCCCCATTTGTGTGTCTTAGTACAAAATTACTATTAATCCATATAAGTTGTTCTTTCCTTTGCTGCAAAAATGTTCCGGATTTTTAGTATTTTGCTCTTAGGCCAAGTGCCGCTGCTGGTTCCTTAAGAACTATGAAGAAAAATTATACACCATCTTTTGATTATAGCCAGTAAATTGATTGGGCTGAACAGGACCTATAAATGGTTTTGAAAAATAACTCTGAAGAAAAGGATGAACTCCTCCTTCATTTCCTTGCTTTGTTGCCTCATGAAGATATTTGGAATGATAAGTGACAAGAGCCAGAATTTAAACAGAAACATCAAGCTAAATTATATCTCTGGAAGTAGTGGTAGGCATTAGGAAATGACAGAGTGGGTGGAAAGTAGTTGTTATTGCTTGCTGGAGTGGAAGATGAGGAATATCCTATATCCAGAGTTTCAACTTTTATTCCTTGCTTCCAGAAAAGCCTAAGTGAACTTCCAGAGCTTTGTAGTGACAGACTTCCAACGTTATTGTTTAAGTTGTCCCTCTTAAATACAGGGATTTGAAGCACCGAAGATATTTGGGAAATGCAGTGCATTTTATTTGCTAGCCAAATAAACAAGTTGTTCAGCAGTGGTTGTGCAGAGACAGACATGGGGAGAGGTTTGTTGGGATGGTGCCCTGTAGCATTTTGTAGTTCATGGAATCCAGTTGCAGAGTCTCCATCTGAATGTGCCATCATGGCTCTCATTAAACCACGGGTAAGTGACCTTAGAGGATTAAGCTGGTTTATAAGTGGTTGGACTGTGTGAATATTCTCTTTCAAAACCCAGAGCAACTGGGGAGGTGAGGTTGCTCATGGATGTCTGTGAGGGCTTTCAGCCCTCACAAGTAATCTTATCTTTAGTTGAATTGTTGTTGGAAGGTCATTTTGAAATCGTCACAAACTGGGTGTAAACTGAACTCTGAAGACATTTGTGTCGGGATTCAGTTCACACAGGTTTAACCTCAAAAGCCAGCTAGCAGTGTAAACTGAGTTGTCCAGATCTACTTCATAATTATGAAAAAGAACTTGGGCCAAGTGATTGATCCTTCTTATTTTGGAGATCAAAAGTACATGATAGTTATGGTTTTTTAGAGTGAGTAGGTGACTGATAGAGACTAAATGCTTATCTTTTAGATAGCTGAATCTCTCTCCCATCTTCTAAGGCTTTAAGTACTATCAGATTCCAGTAGAATTTATAGATTTGCTAAAATATAGTTCTACAAAAGCATGTTCCTAGATGTGGTTCGAAAGGAAACAAGGCAGAATGCTTTCTTGCAGTAAATTTCTGCCTGTTCGTGCCTTTGTGCCATTCCTTATCATGGAATTAATGATGTGAAAAGCCTACTTTTACATCCGTTGACCAGTATCTTAGTGTGACCTCTGTTCCTGAAAGCTGGCTATGTCTCTAAAGTGTAAATGTAAGGAAATTAAGAAGAGCAATGAGGAGCTGGTGCACTGGTGACAACATGTGTGAATAGAACGGCGAGTCTGGAAGGCAATGATAGTGTGGGTTGCCTTCTAGCCTGTGAAGGTAGGAATAGTTCTTGCTGGTCACAGAAGGAAGGGGAAGCAAGGTCAAGGGGGACTGTGTGGGTTTAGAAACCCCAGGTTGTCTGTTTAGCTTAATCTCCATTTAGTACTTGAGTTTTGATGGTACCTACTATCTCAGATCATCTACTTTAAAAACAGGTACAAGCGGAGGCTGTGGCTATTTGTGGCAGTTTGCTCAGCTCTTACAGCTGCACACATAAAGATTTCAGATATGAAAGCCTGAAAAACATGTTCACAACAGGGTAATTAGGTTGTTTGCTTTGTCAGTTTAATTCAATTCCCTAATGTTTTTTTAATACTGGGGGGGGGTGTATCAGAAGAGCCATTACTGCAGCTTCCAGCAACATTTTTACTCTCTTTCAAAATAATTATGCCCTAAATCATTACAAGTGTTTCCAAATGGGTAGCCTTATACGGTTGCCTCCTTTGGACACTATGTTCTCTAGTATGGATTGGAATCTTAATGGCAGCATGAAAACACATTAGTATTGATGTGTAGCATATGGTCTGGATTTTCTTTATTGGCAGCTTTTCAAAGTGAATAGGGGGTTTTACTTGCTTTGATTTTGTTTTTTGAATTAATGTCATGCCTGACAGCCAACAAGGGAGCAAATCTACTGTATTCCTAGTTTACTGAATAGTTACCTTCACCCTGGTGTCTAATGCACCCAGTGCAATGGTAGTGGAAAAAATTTTTCTCCCATGTACGTCACATGTTTCGATGTATGTGTATGCGTGCTCTGGTATCTGTGTATATATTTGTAAATGCACACACCTCTCTAATGCTATCCCACACTTCACAAAGTTGTAAAGATACCTACTTTGCTTTTAAATTTCACAATGGAATTTCTGTAGCCCTCCTCATTAATCTCGTCTCTCGCCCTCTGGCTCCCTGAGTGTGTGCACTGACTTCACACTTGGTGAAAGAACCTCCTCTGTATCTCCTTCCATCTCTTCCAACTTTGATGTACATTTGTCAGTCTCCTTCATTCCCTTCTCCTTTCAGAGCTAAGTTCTAAACACACATATGTTCTGTGCCTCACCTGTGCACATTTAGCATTCTCTCTTTGCATTTGCTCTTAAACTGGTGAAAGTTTCTCCTGTGTGCATACCAAGTTTTACTTACTAAGAAGAAAAATTTTCTTTGAGGGACAGTGGACTGTGACAATAACTGGAATACATGGTTGAGATATATCTCATTGCCTAATTTTGGAATGTGTGGAAATCTTTCCTATGTGACTATTCTAGTCACTACTAATGACTAGAATAGAACTGCATTTTAAAGGTAGTATGAAGTTAAAAATATGAACAATTGCAGATGATTGTTTCTTTCCTGGGATTTTCCTAATAATTTTTGTAGAACTCATTCCAGTGAGTGTGGAAACACTCATATGCATCAGTATTCTTGTTTAATATCACTATTAATCTCCTTAAACAGCTGATCACTTTTAATGCATTCGTGAGCTGGAATATTTTCTAGCAATACAAAAGTAGTTTCTTTAATATGGAGGATATTTTGCATGTACCATATGATGTCAGGCATATGGGCATTATATTAAAAGCACATAAAAGTTTTACTTTGCTCAAACTGTTTTGTCTCTTGCAGTGTTTGCAGCATAAGGCTTTTCACCCTGACAAGCCACTGCCGCCAATAGAGCAGCACCTTTTAGAGATGCTGGAGATGCCCTCTGTGGTAAAAGAAAGGTGTCAGGCTCCTCTGGAAAGAGTAAAAGCACTTTTTCCCCTGAAGGAAGTTGGCAAGAAAAAAGAAGAGAAGACTGCTCAAGACATCTTCAAAGACAAGTAAGTTGGAGATGTTTTATGGATTTTTTTGAAACTTTTTTTTTTTTACACTTCAAGTTTGTTTTTGCTGGATGAAGCAGGCTCAGAGTCTTTTTAACAGAAAATCAATGAGTTACACACTGGAAAAGGTGCTGATGGATGGAGAATATTGTGGTGCCACAGTGTGTCTGGAGTATTTTGTGAATAGTGGTGGTCATACTGTTACAGTGCTAGACACCAGCAACCGGTTTGTAACTTCCATATGTCTGTATTTCCTGTCACAGAATCACAAAATCCATCAGGTTGGAATGACCTCAGGAGGTTTCTTGTACAACCTGCTGCTCAAAGCAAGATCACCTGTGAGGTCTAAACAGGCCTTCATCCAATCTGGTCTTGAAAACCATCTTGAAAACGATGGTGACTGTGCATCCTCTCTGGGCAACCTGTTGCATTGCTTACTGTCTTCTGATCAGACAGATTGTCCTACTGGTGGTTATAAAGTAGTTCAAACAGCACTAAGGGAGTCTAATGTAGTTTAGAATAAATGCCATGAAGCTTTAAATTAGCCATAAAGTGGAGTCATCTTAGCATGCTTGATTTAGGTCATTCTGTAGCTTTCATTTTGAATACCAATTACAAGAAAAGCAGCTTCATTATTATCAACTGTACAATTAATGTGGTTTTCTTGGAAAAAATCAAACTGTTATGGACTCTTCCTGGAATACCTATTGTTTGAACAGTTTCAAGGTAGGATTTTTTTGTTGTTGTTGAATATACTGTGTTTAGTTTATTTGTGCTGCAAATAGGAAGAATAAATGCTGAATTGCTACTGCATCGCTACTGTCATCCCGGCCAAATCAATTTGCTCAAACAAAATCTGCTTCTTAGAGCTTAACTTATTGAAATCTGTAATATAACTAGTGGGGCCCCTGGGATGTTGGAGTGTTCTCAGTTAGCTCCTTCTCCCTTCTTTTTGTCGTTTTTGGTTCAGTCATTTCAGCACTAGGAACAACGTTGTTGAGGTGTTTTGAGTTCTTGCTTAGCTTGCCTGTCATATATCCTTTACCTTGGATTGGCTAGAGCCTCTTCCCCAGTTATCTTTGGGAAAAAAATGACATAAGACTCCTCACTTTGCTGCTCAAGATTAATGACCACATTTCTCCATACAGACTGGGAAACACCTTACTTTTTGTTGTTGTTGATTTCAGTGTGTGCCTGTGTTACCTTGGCGTGTCTGTGAATTCATACTGATTAAATTCTCTTTTCCTTACTCCGTGCCCCAGTTTCTCTGTGTGTGTGTACATACATACATTTATATGTGTATTTTAAAAAGAGATACAACCCTTTGTTTAAAAAACGAAAGGAGGGGGGCAAATTTGGGTTCAAGCAAGCTAGAGAGAGAATTTAAACAAGAAGCAGTGACCTATTCATGGTAGTTGCTTAAAAATATATCTTCCCAAAAGCATCTATTTGACAAGGAAGAAGGAAATCTATTTTGCTTAAAAACTGTTTTTCTTTAGAGAGATGATAAAAGCAGCTATGAAATTGAGATTAATTGAGAGTAATTGAGATAGAAATTGTAGGGCATTAAAATGATTTTTAAAAAAATCTGTAAAGGCAGTGAAAGAATACAGACTCAACTATTAACAGAAGAATGAATGGTAATAAGATTTTAAAACATTGCAAATAAAAATGGTATTGCTGTAGTAATGAATGGGAGCATTAGTATTGTCATTGCTACAACAGTAGTGCTAACTGTATGGTTTTGTTCTGTGTTTGGGGAAAAGTTGAGTGATATTCACTTGATAAAGACAAGTACATCACTCTGCAACTGCGCACTGGCACAGTGGATGCCTCATCCCTGGAGGTGTTCAAGACCAGGTTGGATGAAGCTCTGAGCAACCTGGTCTAGTGGAAGGTGTCCCTGCCCATGGCAGGGGGTTGGAATGAGGTAATACTTAAGTTCCCTTCCAAACCAAACCATTCTGTGATTCTAAATTCTGTATTCTATGAGATTCAGCTTATTAAAACTATCATATATAGGCAGTTCACGCTGAAGTATTGTGAAAAAGTTGACTAGAAGATCTCTTGACCATTATTTTTGTTTCCTAAAACTGATCTGTGTCCCCTGTCATCATATTAACCAGATTCTTCTCTGCTTAATTTTTAAGGTCTAATGAGACTAAGGTAGCATAATTGTAGACATCATACCTTAATACAGATTTCAGTATTCAGCATTCATTTGTATCACTTTTACTAAGCTCTCTAGTTAAAAAAAATCCAGTAAAAAAGAAAGCATTTTACTTTTTCCTTCTTAGGTTGGCTGTGGAGAGGCTATTACCTCATCCAGCTTTGCAGCATGTGAGAAGCTTCTATATTAATGTAGAAGTGGGTGTTTTAAATTAATCTTGTATTTTATTAATTTTTGTCAAATAGTAATTGCACGTTTTACAGTTTAAAAATACCGCTAATCAGTGCATATTCTAAATGTCAGATCCTTGGCTGGTATAAATGGGTATGGATTCATTAGTTTCTGCTGTGCTGCACTGATTAATGACAACTGTAGATCTGGTCCTAGGCAGTTAAATGTAGCGTCATCATTTATTTTCTCCTTCCTACAATCCCAAAGCATTTTGAATCAGTAAAAATAACGCAGGAAGAAAAAGGTTTCAGGACATTCCAGTTGATTGCCACACACCTTTTGGAGAAAAATATTCTAAAAGAGAGTTTTCATTGTTCTTTGCACTTTCTATCAAACCACGTCAATATACAAGATTTTTGGTTTCAGTGGAAGTTCTAAACTCACTGATGTTGATAAGTATCAATTTCTCCATTTTACAGAGAGACAGAGGCTGTTCAAAACAATCAAACAACTTGTTCAAGGTTAGTCAGAAAGTCAGCGGAGTTGAGAATGAAGCAAGGTATCCTATCCTTGTCCTGAGGCATAACTAAAGTCATCATTCCTCCTGGAGTGATAAGTAAGGTTATGCTGAATGACAGGAGTTGCTGAGGAGAAGGGATTTCATTTCGGTAGTGACAAAATAAAGTAAAGGATGAGAAGACTACAGAAACAAAGTGAGATAGACACTGATTATAAAGTAGGGGAGGAGTGTGCTACAGAAAGCAAAAAGGAAGACTGTACAAGTTCTTTCCAATAGTTGATTGCTTCTGTAACGTGCAATGTAATTTTTGCAATCAGTTCTAACCTTGTAGAATAGAAAGTGGCACCTTGTCCAGGATCTCTGGCTTTGTCCCTGTGTCCTCAAGCAGTTTCTGTTTTTCCCTACAGTAGTAGAATTTTTCATAAAAACTTGTTACTTTGTTTTGAGATTGCTTGAACACAAATCCTGCTGTTTTGATAGCTGAGTAGCTTTCAGTCATTCTTAAACTAAAATCAATTTTTCTGTATCAGTAGCCTGTCACATTATGTGACACAGAATGTAGTATCTGATTTTCTTCCCCTTTTGTGATTATCTGGATTTTTCTCCTGTTGCCAAGATGTGCTCTAAAGTTTAATATGTTCCATGTTACAGTTAAGTTCCTAACATGAACGTACACTTTGGTATATGTTATCTGTAAGGACAAAGCGAGAAAGAAGCCTAAAATCACAATTAGCTTTTTAAAAATAACAAATAGTCCTTTTGAAAGCATTTTGAGATGTAGCTTAAAATGTCATAAGAGAGTTGTGATGTGCTTAATTGGGGCTTGTCTAGCAGATTTTGATGACTGTAAGTGGAATCTTATAAAGCTGTCATGTGCTGATGAAGAATAGGGGTTGTTAGACTCAAAAGCCACTGTGTAAACAGGTTTGTATTACCTATAAATTCCAAGACAAGAACTAGCAGGTAGTGACTGAAGAGTAAACTAATTGCTTACTTAAATGTTATATTTTCATTGCCATTTCATGTTTAAAACAAGTCTGGTGAGAACACCAAATGTCATGTATATATAGTGTAAATTATTAAGGTTAACTCAACATACAGGTTCCAAATAAAGTGATTGGAGGTATTTTGTATTTAAAAAGGTGAAGGTGTGTATAAGTAAATTTACACCTGAAATAAGCACGAATAATCTCATACCTTCAACAAGTGATGCCTTTGCTTTACGCTAAGATAAAGTTTGATCTCTGTTTCTACTGTCTGCTTTGTGCAGTCTATGGGGAAAAATGAGGCATGGTTTAGTGTTGGTTTTGGAACAGTTGTGTAATGAAGTTACAGTTAGTTCAGTGCATATTTCATTAATTTACTGACTCCCTAGTTAGTAGGCAGGACAATTTACTTCAAGTGTTTATATTCAGTTTTGTCCTTCTCATTTGCAGCAGCGAAGATGAACCCCGCCTTAAGAAGCCAAAAACTGAAGATGAGGAAGAGGGCTTTAGCATCCTAAAACTTGCTGAAGGCAATATTACCTCTGTAAGCATATTTTTACAAATCTGATTATGAAGGGGGAGTATTAATTCTCTAAGTCTATTATAGTGAATATGCAGAATTCCTGATTAAAGGAGGGTTTCTAGCTGAAACATGACTGAAATACTGTCTACTTGTACATTTGAGTCTCTGCTAGAGATTATAAAGACAACTTTCTCTGCCTTTAAGCATATGTTAGCATAGGTTTCTGTCAGTCTTGGATATTTTAGGACAGAATTCTTTCCCGGTGTTTAGAACTCTAAAAAGCAAGCCTGAGGATCTGAAGAAAACAGAATTGGAGTTCAGTGGTTGAATTTTGTTCTTGCTGTCTTTCATATAATCTGCAACATAGAAGTTACCTCTTTATAGTTAATTAAAGATATTGCTGAGATTTTAGACACTGTTCTCTGCATTAGTCGGGGTTCTAAATCAGAAATTTGCTTAATCTTGCTGCTAGATCTAACTTAATTCTATAGGTAGGTGAAACCTGTATCATGACTGTGCCCTTCCTTTACTTGAATTTTTTTCCTATGATGCGAAAAAAAAAAGATTTCGTATTGAGATAATTTCCCTTGTTTTCAACCATGCTATTCTTTAAGGTTCATTTTTAAAAATACATTATTGATACTTATAGAAGATTTAAAATCTAAAACGATTTCAATATTCTGTACTCCTAATATAAATTTATGATATTTCCTGAAAAGTAGCATTGCCAGATTTAGAAGAAACATGATGAGCCCAAACAAACTTACTGAAAAGTCCACAAATTACTTTGACAGCAAAGCATAAAAATTTCAAAAAAAACTTAAGAGAATTTTCATTCCTGATAGGAAATTTTAAGCAGTGTGGGTTTGTTTTTTTTTTTTTATTAGAGTTAACGCACCCGTTTTTCATTAAGTGTTAATTTATATTTGACCTGGTTTTAGTTCCTTTCTAAGGTTTCTGCACTTGTATGCTCATTTAGAGTTTGTGCCAGAAATGGTAGATGACTTGAGGGCAAGCTTTTAATTTTGGGCTTCTTATTCGAATGGCAAATCACTGATTCTGTACTCATGTGCGTGGAAGCTCCCACTCCTCAGTAGGCATCTGGCTGGATTAGGGGGGTCTAAGAGGTCTGTGCTACAGAAGGTCTCAAAGCTGAACTAGCAGGTAATCTGAATTACTGTCCTTGTGTCCTCTCAGCACCAGAGAATGTGGCTGACTGGTAACAGTGCAGCATAGTGAGTGTAAGTTCATCTTGCTCATGTCATAATTAACCTTTGCTGGGAGTACTGTGCATTAACACACATTGGAAGACTTACATTTTATGAGTCTGCATGCAGAGAAGTGTAGAACTTCTGTTTCCATATTAAAACTAAAAGAAATGCCAAGATTCTTGTTGCTCTGCAAGAACAGAGAGATGGATATTGGCAGACAATTGTATCATTTTTGTACCTTTGTAGGTAGGAAGTGTTAACCCAGCAGAAGATTTCCGAATTCTGGTGAGGAAGAAAAACGCTGACTTCAAAGATGGTAAATGACTTTTTTTACATCTTAATTATATTGTTGGCAACTTCAGGGTTCAGTAAATGCAATATGATTAATTAGTGCTATGTGAGATGCTCTGGAATTTACAGGTTAGTTTCTAGTGCCACTTAGCAAAGAAAGGTGTCTCTCATAATTCCCATTTCCATAGTCACCTTCCCCAGTTAAAAGTCTCAGGTACCTGTGTTTGAGTGAAACAGCCCTACACAGCTACACTGAGGCACCTGAGCAACCCCACAGGTGTTTCTAACAGAAGATCCCTTGGTATTCACTGACTGCCTCATTCCAACTGAATCTCAGCTTCTCATTCCCAGGATCTTTCTGGCTTGGTGTGGAGGGCTGCTGGGTATACACAGGGTGAGAAACCTGTCTTCTGCAGTCTACTTATTCTGTTCCATGTAGAAAAAAGAAGACTGTGATGCCTGGGATTTAAATCTTTACATGCAAAAATCATTTCTTACTGCTTGTGAGCAAAAGAAAGCAAAGGTGACTTTAGGGTGTTATAGGCAGGTAGTATGTGTGTATGAAAGGTGAGAGGAGGCTCTGTGTGCACTGACTCTATCCTCAGGATACAGCAAGACAGGGTTTTGATACAGAGGAGAGGAAGAATACAAAGCACAGGTCAGGCACCGTCTTGCATGCCCTAAGTCTGAAAATGCAATGGAACTATCATTTGTTTGTATGGTATTTCCCTAGTAGAGTAGCTATGTAGAGATATAGGTAATCCAAAGGTATCTTAAAAAGAATGCACAAGATGGATGGGGTCCTTTATCTTTTAAAGGGTGGTTTGAAGGTTGTGGCAATGTAAACTTGATCTGCCAAATAGTCCCTAATGTCATGTTTCTTTTCAAAGAAAGATTTGCAGAGGTGCTTAAGTGATGTGCTAAGTATTTCAATAAGGCATTTGGTCCTTTTAGACATAGTTGAGGAGTGTGTTGAGTAGTATATTGACTTGGGATATAGTCTGTTAAAGCCTACACAGCCATTTCTCTCCAGAAGTTCCAGACCTGTAAGCCAGCTAGCTAGCTTTTTACATGGGTTTTGTATTAGATCCAGAAGAAATTGTTTATTGAAAAGATATTTGGAATTATGTTCTTAAATCTCAAACATATTAAGATGCAGTAAAAAAGCATTGTGCAACATATTAGAATACAGACACTGTGAAACAGTTGACTACTTCATTACAGTAATAAGTTTTATCATGTAGGAAAGCTTTAAGGCAGAAATGAGTATAGTGATTACCCTTGGAGATGGCTTAACTAAAGAGTGCTTAAATATGTTCACTTGGTAGCTGGGCAAGATAGATAACTGCAGTACATGTTTGGAAGGTTCTGAAATTCTGAGCAATTTACTTTTATTCTGTGTGATCTGCTCTATAATGATAAGATGTAGTTGAACAGAATGTAATGCAGTCACCTATTTAAAGGACAGATAGGAGCCACTATAAATAAAAACATGTTCTGCATATTATCTCTTTCTTTTGGCTAATCCTTTTTATGCTTTAGGGCCTTTTAGGTAGCTCAATACATAAAACATTGCAGGGATGTTTTTAATGGCTTGGTGTATTGCACTCTGGTTATGTAAACAGGTTAATGGCACACATCCTTTTCAGTCCACAGCAAGTCTCTCACCAAAACTGTAAAGTTAGCAGTACCAGAGGATGCCAAGGGGATTTTTTTTTCTTTTTAAACAGTTTGTAGGAAGTCCTGATGGTGTATTTATCGTCAAAAAACGAGTACCAATACATTTCCACCATGCCCTCACTGGGATTTGATGGTCAGGATTTGTGCCATTCCCAGGAGAAGCCTAAGTGCAAGTTGGTCCATGCCTGATGCTGTGTCCCACAGCAGACCAGAGCAGGAGAAATGATGCATTCAGTGTTAGTTAGAACTGGGCCACTAATATGTACCTGCATATTTTTAGAAAATCAAAGATTTTTAAATTGTTAAGGATCTTAGGGATAGGTTTTCTGAGACTGGCAGCTCAATTCCTGAAACAGTAATTGACTTTGGTTTTAACTGACAACTGTAGTTTATTACAGTAGGGACCTACTTAAGGGTTACATGATGAGTTGTGTTATATGGTGTCACTTAGTGGTTAATGTTGATGTTCATGTAACTAGAATTGTGTTCCCCTGTAGATATCTTTACTTTCATATTTGCATTCAGGGCCAGAGAGATGTCATTTTATGCAGGTCTTATTTTGAGCAGGTTACAAGTACACAGTCATCACAAAGAGATGTCTTGATGTTTTTGTCAAAGAATGCACATAAAATAGATTAGTTTACCTGAGTAGAATCTAATCATTGCTCCCGAGGATGTACAATGAGTTCCTTCATTGCTGTGGCTGCAGAGAGGATTCTCAAATGCTGTGAGTGATTGTCGTCTTTTTAATGCCAAAGGAGTAGCCACATGACTACCAGTTCATCCTGTTGGACTATTTAGATGTTTCCATCCATGTCTGCATCTCTGGAGAGCAGATTGTGTCTGATGTGGTGGGTTGTATTTTCATAGGCTTTTGTAGAAGAAGGATCAGGGGAGTAAAAAAAAGATATTGACACATGCATAGTGTTTCCTTTGATTTGTGTGAGTTTATAGGCCAGATTTCATTGCATCTTACAGGACTCCTGTCTGAGAACATGATGCCAGAAGTCCTGCAGTTGAAAAGCTTTTTTTTTCATTTATTTTACTGATTGTCAGCAGGGAGAGAAATCTGCAGTGACAACTCAACAGTTTATGGACATAAGGAAAAATGTCCAGAGACAAACTGTACCAAACTCTCATTTTTATATTTATAGAAATTTTGTTAATGTTTTTACTCCTAGGCACTTCTAGAAAAATATAGTTAAAGGGGTCAGTAATTGCAGGAGAACAAAGATGATACTTTATTGCAAGATTTTCTGTAGAAATAGGTATAGTTAATTACCTTTCTGGACCTAAGTTAGTTTTTAGAAAAGCTAATATTTAATTTCATTTTTTGCTGGCATGTTTTTGCAGTTTGTCTGCATTTTTTCTTACTGGATGTTTTTGTGTGTTTCCGAGACTATTCATACTCTATTGCTAGGTAGGCCAGACTGGTTTGAAAATGATTCAGTCATCAGAAGAGTATTTGCAAACCAAATACTTGAGTATATAGAATCACTTTGAAGTTTTCCGTGTATCTGCTTCACAGAGAAAATGAAGCTAGATTCGACTTTGAAGGGCACAGCAATTGGGTGAGACTCAAAGCTCTGAGTTGCAACAAACAGAATTTGAATTAGATGTTATGGGGAAAAGATAATAAAGATCACAATGATGGTACTCAAACAAAGAAAGAGGGGCCCAGAGAACTTGGAGACTCTCCATCTTTGGAGCTATGCAGAGCTTAAGTCTGTGGAGCACTGAGCCACCTGATCCACAGCAACCTGTTTTGAGTGGGAATTGGGGTCATATGTCCTTCAGACATCCAGCTTAAATCATTATGATCCATACCCACAGGCTATTTAGAGAGATCATTTCAAAATTGAACAGCATCTCATAGGATATTGGAGTAGTTCAACAGGTCTTAATGTTAAAATTCATATTTCTTGGCTTAAAGATGAAGGAAGTCCTCAAAAATTAGGACAGTTTTCAGTTCAGAATTTTTCTTCTTTTCAATTATAAAAAGGTGATACTTATAGAGCGGTGTTTTAAAATTATCAGATGTTTTAACTGATTTGTCAGTGATTCTTAGTTTAAGCCCTGTCCCTGAATACAAATCATTACCACCAACCAGCAGATAAATCAAATGATTGACAACAACAGGAGACTTTTGTCTAAGGAAGAACTGTTTTCTTAACCTAATCTATTTTTGTAGGGGGGGAAAAAAATCCCCAAGGAATTGAACTTGGACTGTAATAATAGACAGTTTTGTCTATTATTATTGTGTCATCTGGTTGGCATAGTAATCAAGACCAAGAACTAAACTGAAAAAACATGAAAATATAACTACACTTTTGTACTATAACTGTTCAGAGATAACAAGTGAATATAATTGTTCATGACATATTTCACAAGAAATGACAGCACTACTGAATGTATTTTAGAGTAGCAAATGTATCTGAATGCCAGCGGGGAAGGGATTAAATTCTGTTAGAACTAAAAGATCTTCTATGATTTTTTTTTTTCCTGCCATTCTTCAACCTTTAATAGCTACATTTGTTATCTAACCAGTCAGGCAAGGTAGAAGGAGGAAACAGGAGATTAAAATTTCTTGGGATGTTCTACAGAATGTGGTGGTTATTAAGAGTGCTGGAATTCCTGTTAATGCAAAATGTAGAAGTCTGTTAGTTCACTTCCTTAAATATGTGTGTGGAATGAAGTAAGTTGGGGGGGAAGGAAAAGAAGTTATAATTATACAGCAGTGGCCTGAATAGGCTATCAGTTTGTAACTCAAGGACCTACTCTTCAAAACTTCAATGCCTGAAATTTGTCTGGGACGCATCAGAGTTAATGCTTATCACAGCTTAGTTGAAAAGACATCTTTATGCAGAATATGCCTTGCTCCAAAAACAGGGACATCTATTTTTTGCAGCACCCAGACCCAAAGATTCAGACTAATGAAAAGACAGCAGGAAATCAACAAACTTCTCAGACCTAGAAGTGTAAAGGAACAGAGTCCACTTCGAAAATTTCCAGTTATAATCCTTATCTACTGTCTCTGGTATTGTCTTTGGCCCCTTGAAATAATTTGGTAGTCTAACCAGAACACAGGAATTTTCTGTATTCTAGATTCATTGGCCTGTCATTTAAGGGAGACCAATGGACAGAACCAGCTTTAGCCAAGCTTGAAACAGCCAAGCTGTTTCAAGATGTTAGAGGAATCTGACTTAAAATACTGTTGCCATGTAACCTGTTTGCTGCATATATTATGGTATTTCAATGCCTAGTAAAACACTGTAGGTTTCCTCTGGTTCCTTACAACAAATTTCAAAAGGAGGCGGCTCACAGTCAGTAGCAAGAAGACGTCTTTTCTTCTGATGGCTGCCAGGGCATTCAAATGGAAAGGGATTTAAAAAAAATAAATGCAAAAGAAGTAGTAGAGTGTCTGATAATTTCAAACAGTATGTGCTGGAATCATTCTGACAATAAGGACTTCTACTGCACCCTCATAGTGCCTGGGGTTTTAATTTAACACATCAATGAAAAGGCAGTGTTTAAAAAACCACCATCACCACTGAAAACACCAGCAGGACTTGCTTTTATTAGTGCAATTCATAAGAAATTAGAACATTTAATGAGAAAATCATTAACCATGAAAAAAATGGACTGACTTAACTTGGGGAGCTTAAGTAGTGAGGCTTCAATTTAGTTTGTCAGCTACTGGTGAAATAAATAGAGAGTGAGCTGATCACCTCTGGCGCAGTAGGCACTTCAACACACTTTCTTGTGCTATAGCTGTTGTTGAGCAGAACCATTTCAGCCTCCTTTTCTAAAAATTGTCAAAAACTAGTGGGAGAATATCAAACATGCCTTGTTTTGCTCTTTTCAGAGATACTGTCCTTCAGATTCAGTTCAATTGGGCATTTTATAGAAAATAATATAACAACCTGTGCTGTGTATGCTCACAGTGAGCAGAGTGGAATACAGTACTTAAACAATGTCTCCATGTGTTTAGTTCTCCTTCTCTTCCACCACTCTGGCAGATGATTTTCTCTGTCGATGTGTCCTTAGCTGAAAGACTTGCAGTGACAACTGTGCCCATAACATCTGGACATAGGAAGGGCTGTAGGTCAGGCAAAAGGTTCTGCTAATCCAGTAATTGGTTTTTAATAGTACGAGCACAGGACAGGCAGATGCTGTGACTTGTTCAGAATGCTGTCCTGAATTTTCTTCCTCAATGGCAACATCACTGTTAATCTCCATTGATAGAGATCCTCTTTTAAGAATTATAAGAACTTGTTCAAACGTTTTTTAAGCTGTTAAAACCTCAAGCATCTGACAGCAGCCTGTGGTGAAGGGGGTTAACTGGTTTATGTTTAAAGAGGTATTTTTTTTTTTTTTTTTTAGTTCTTAACCCAACTCTTGGCTCTTGTTTTGAGAGAGGCAGGGAACTATCAACTCCCTATTCATCTTTTTCAGTATGTTTCTGAGTTTATAGATCACTGTTGTATCCTCCTCACATTTATCTTTTCCCAGGCTGAGGTGTCTGCCAGAGGGTAAAATTGGACAGTTCCTCATTTGTAATTAAATGTGAAGTAAAGTAATAAAATCCAGTAGAAATTAGTAGGGCTTGCAGAGCTCTTGAGTGACATTTTTACTTGTCTTGTTTGCAGTGGTTTACAGCTATTTACCTTTTAGGAGCTGAACATAAGGATAAAACTGGTGTTCTCCTTCTTTTTGGTACAGGTCTCACTGTTTACCTCTGCTTCTTTCTGTCACGCAGGCACAGTTTATAATACTTATCTCTATAATGATAAACAGTGTTACCCTGATGAAAAAATCATTGAACTACCTGTACAGAGACAAGTTATACTCTAATGTCAATAACAATAAGGTAGTCTTTTAACTGCAATCACCCTACAGATGTTGTTTTGACATTATTACACCTTCCTTGTAAATTTAATGCTTTTATTGAAATATGCATCTATTTCAAAGGATGTTTAGGGTATATGCTGGTGTTGTAGAACATAATCTCCCTAAGCTTTAGGATCCTGAATGTTCTGGTTTTACTTTTTATCAAACAAGCGAGACCAGCGCTTTTTTCCTTGGCTTTCAGGGAAAACGCTTTTGTCTTGGACATGCTTGGGGTTTTTCCTAGTATATCTAGCTATTCCAGAGAGTCTGAAGTAATTCTCAGTAGCTGAGATAACAATAATCAACTTGTGTAACTTGAGGCATTGTGGGTATGATTAACTATTTAGATGCATGTGGAATAGAAAGAGACATGTAAAAGTGGGGGTTTTTTTCTTGAAAGTGTGCATCCTTTGATTTATTTATTTATTTCTCCTTGTCTTCCAGTGAGTCAGCAGTTGATAAACCGCATTGATCAGTTCCTGGAAAATAAAGGTTCACAGTACTACATGAAAGGGATCGATTGTATCAGAGTTTTCAGAGAGGAGGCCATGAAGGTAATGTTAATATGTGAATACTCTTATCTCTTTCAAATTAAAGTCATGATAGGCCTGTTTGCTGCATTAGAAACTTGATAATGTATTGCTGCAGCAAAAAGAATTGATTTTTAGGTTAAAGTATGTTTGAAAATTTAGAAAGAGTTGCATTTTATGCAGGCTTTTATTCTTACTGGAATGGTGACTGGCTTCTCTGGTATTATTTGCTGTTGTTCATTTTCTTTTAAACATAAAACAGAAGGCCTATGACCTGATGCTGGTGTAAGAAAAATAAGCAATCCTACAATTTTCTTCTTCAATAAAGCTGTTTACAAGGAATTCTTTCTAGCTTTCTGAAAGGCAGTTTTTGTGGCTCACCTTTCCTTAGAACTTGTAGTTTTAATAGAGATAAACCCAAATTCTGTAGTGACTTTTGCGTTCACTGTGTTAGATGACTCATGAAGAATTAAGTTTGCAGTGCTCCTTAGTAGTTTAAGTATTTCTTGTTTACCATTGCGGTTTTTTTTTTCAGCTGTCCAAGGTGCAGTGCTTTAATGACTTTCTGCGGGCCCTGAAATCAAAGCTGGAAGATAAAGCCTTAGCTGATTTCTGGGAGATCATGATACAAGGTAGGATGGCATTAAGAAAAACCAAAAAAACCCCAATTTCTAGTTGTATTTTCCATTTATCCGTTATGTAAGAGGAAAACTTTGTTAGCAGTGGGACGCTTAAATTACCCCACAGCAGTATTTTGATATGGTTCATTCCTGCAGCCTGTTTAAAAATGTCTAAAAAATCTTTCATGTTGCAGCTTCCTTTTCTGCACTAATAGTTTCATATCAGCAATATTCATAATGCCTTGCCAAGTCTTGTTGCAATGGTAGATTAATTGTGGAAGAAGAGAGACAAATTAAATGTTACGGGGTAAGGAGAAGGAGACACAATTTCAGCTGAATTTCAGAATAAATGGAAGAAACTCATGCAGCAAAGATCTAAAAAGATTCTTCCAATTTAAGCTTCACAAAAGTCATAGATAGCATTGAAATATGTCACTGATCATTATGTATTTAAGTAACCTAAAAGACAGAACATGTAGTAATATGACACCTACCTGATTAAACCAGGAGATACAAGGCAGTGCCATTCTAAAAGACATTCAGAGACTACACAAGTGATAAATAAAGGAGCATTTTCACAAATACGAAACACAGTAGACTAAAAAAACAATCTTTTACATCATACTCATGTTTTTAATTGGAGCCAATGCTAAGAAAATGTGTTAAATGCCCAGATGTAACTCTTAAGAGTGCATGCTATAAAATGCAGTGATGTGCTTTTGTATAGTACCTTTCAAAGTGATAAACTCCAGGCACACTGTAATGTCTGCTTCATCCAACTTCTGCAAAATAGAGGATGGGAATTTGTTTAGTAACGCAAAAAAACCAGCACAAGACAACACTGACAAGAATATTATATTCAGTAGTGTTGTAAGGGACTTTCTCTGAAGAAATTAGAAAAAAGAAACCAATAAACTTTGAAAGCAGGAAACTTAGATCTTTTAAAGCCATGCTGGAATAATTTTTAGGTAGTACGAATCCAAGTTTTTGACGACCTGGAGTATATTTTTCAGGGGAAAAAAACCCACAGACAAAGAGACATGATATTTTCATATTAAATATGGTATCTTTTTGAGAGCATGGTGAAATCATGGTGCTTTATGCATAATCCAACTGCTCTCAGTAAGCAGCTGAAATTGTGTTTTGCTTGCTGCTACCAGGAGGAGAAGTCCTCTTTTCCCTGATCTGGCCACATGACCCATCCCTTCTTTTCTACCAAATGTGGTGCGCATTGGGCCTTGTCATGAGTGACTGCAGTCACCAAAAGAGGATGGATATAAGTTAATGAGTTAGGAGCTCAAGAGGAAGGCAGGTCTGTTTGACAAGTTCACTTGTTTCATGGAACTGCCATGGGGTTCTACGGGTGTTACATTTGTGCTGCTGCTGAACCTTTAGGAATCTACAGTTCTTTGCTCTCACACCCACAGCTGCTTATTAGGCACAAGCATTTGTGTGGCCAAGTGGTGAGGAGATTTTCTGGGGGGAGTGGGAGAGGGCGGGTTCACTGCACAGGATGGAGGTACTGGCACAAGCAAGGAGCCAGATGGGCCAGGACCAGCACTTTGGTAGTTAAGACTCGAGGTAATCACGGCATAAGCGTCTGTATGCTAGGAGTTAATTTCTTCTAAGGACCTAAGAGCATGCTGTGAATCACTAAAAGTGTAATTTCTAATAGATTTTCAGCATTTCATCTGTGATCTATGATTTCAGTGTCTCATTAGTTTGATTGTCATAATATTAGCAGTTTCCTAAATGGATACTTCCACAAGCTTATGAATATGCTCATTAATTTATTTTTGTATCATAGTTTATATCATAGTTGACTCATTTATGCAAGTCACATTTTCCTTTGAGCAATATTTTTTTTTTTTGGCTGGTAATGATGACACATTCAGAAGTTGGAATTTGGAACATGTTTTTCATTTGTAACATTAGGTGCATTTTTGGGAAGCCTTCTAATGATATTTTTATATATCTTTTTCATTTTTAAGACAGAATTTCTTTGATCAGTAAAGATGAAGCACAGGAAAGTTCAGTGACCAGCGAAGAGGCTCAAAAGGTATCATTTTTTTAATAAGCATCTGTTTGTATAGAGACCTTGCAGTGGAATAGAAGACTTTCATACGTGGATAAACCTTTAGATGAATGAAACAGGATCAGTATGAAGGAATAAGAGTGTCCTTTTGCCACATGATTGAAATTGCCCCAATTCAGAGCAAAAATAATTCTTTAGCATGTATAATGACGTTTTACTTTAATTGGTCTTTAGAAAGTAGCATGTATTGACATTATCTGAAAATATCCTCTACAAAGAGTAGAAACTTCAGCAACTCTGTGTAGTGGAACAGCAGTATACTGTTTACACATATAAGATCACTATTCAAACTCCACAGAAAGAAATGTCTTCTCACGGGTAGCGCGAGCTCCAAAATCATATACTTTTTATTGTCTAAACTTGTTGGGAACTCCATCCGTTAAGGTTGTTATGGCTAGTTTTCATAATATATGCAATGATACCAATATTTTCCACTTTATGCAGCCCTGGTGATTGATGGATGACATAGGTGATGCTGGTGTTATTTGTGATCATATTAGATCCTTTTGGAAATGAGAGTTTTGGAGTACTTGCAGGTATAATTCGTACAGATACATAGCACTTCAGTAACTGCAGTGATGAATGAAGGATGTCACAGTTACAAATGACTGAATTCTAACAGGCAGAATGCTGCCTTCTGTTTGGAATAAAGCAGAATTCAGAGCTGCTGTCAAAAATTGTATTTGTGTGGAGAGGGTAAAATGGGGATTATTGTATCAGGCTGCTAGTTTAGGAGAAAGAAGGTCCTTGTATTACAGACCCCCTGAAGGTAAACCTGTGGCTAAAATCACTAAGTATTTTGCAGAGAAGTAGCTTTTATAAAAGAAGCCACATTGATTTTTGCAGCTTTCAGGCCTTCCATTAGCAATAGCCAGAAGTGTGTAGAAGTAGGTTCTCAATGAATTAGTTAATGAGCGGAAAAAGGTGGTATTTTAGAAACTGCTTTTTTCATCTCTAACAGTTTACCTCAAGGTGAAGAAGGCACAGAAATGTCATGAAAATGGAAAGCCAACCGACTAGGAGTCCAGAAAGCTGAACATGTGTGCAGGGTACAAATGACAAAGTATGATGATTTTTCTAGACATGAAGGACCTAATGGCTGTTTTTCATTAGACATAAATGTACAGAGCAACTTTTTTCCCCAGTGGTGGTTTTAAAGAGTATCAGGGTTTTTTATTTATTTCAAGTGCTATGAATTTACTTGGAAACTTCTTAAGACAACGTTCTTCTTGAGAACTTTACTTTCTAGTCTGAAACTACCACTGATACTCAAAAAGTATGCTAATGCTCTGTGAAATAGCTGTTCCGTAAGGAAATCTCTACTAACCATCAAGACCTTACAGCATACTGTTGTCCTAACTGTGAGCTTGTGGTAGCTAAAAAATACTATGCCTGCACAGGAATGCAACACAAAATATAAAGTACCAAGGACTAATTTACAGCTGCCAGACTAAGCTGAAACAAAGCATTTATAGAGTGACTTCACATTAACATTTCTGTTTACCATCATCCTACAATCAGCCTCATGTTGCAGTACAGGAAACTATTTTGTGATTGATTGAGGGTCATACAATAGCCATATGTTCCCATTAAATTGGGGGAATGAGAGAATGCAAGAAATCAGTGCTGCAGCAGAGTTCTCTAACATGGCACTTACCTTAAATTCCAGAGTAATTGGGTTGCATCTCTTTCCTAACTAGGCAGCTGGCAGTCCTACTTACTCACTAGATAGCCACCTCCCCACACATTGTCCAAACTAAAACCAGAATGCTAATTTGCCCCATCAGGGGCTCATATGACTTTTTACTTAAACTGTAAGACTGCATAATCTTGGAAGAAGATGTGCAGGGATAGAAAATTTTATCTTGAGGTTATGGTGCTGGTCTAAAATCTAGTCCTCTTTGGTCCAGTTAAACCCAGTCACAGGTTTGCTGTGTGATACAAAGTCAGCATTTTCATAGGTCTGTAGTAGATTGCAGAAGTGGTTAATTATTTTTTTTCTGTACTGAAGATGATATCCTTCACTAAAAGATTATATTGGATTTTTCAAATATCCCTCAATAGGGTAAGAGGCAAGTTTTCTTCACCTCTGTAATAAGTCATGTGCAAACCTGTAGGTCACAAGGTTGGCTGTCAGTGTGGTCTTATGTGACACAAAAGCCTTTTCTCTTACATCTTGGTTCTTACCTGACAGTAGTTTCAGGACTGTTTAGGCTCTAAGATTTCAGGTTTTATAGGGTTGCTGTCTGCAGGAGAAAGGAAGGCTGCTTATTAGAGAGGTAACATGTAAAAGTTTCCTTTTTCTTTTTTGCTTGAAGTAGCAATAGCCAGAAGTGGGTAGAAGTAGGTTCTCCATGAATTAGTTAATGAGCAGGAAAAGGTTGTATTTTAGAAACTGCTTTTTTCATCTGTACCAAGGTAGGTTATCCATACATGTTTTCCAATCACTGAGAAAATGATTTTAGATAGTTTTGTTTGGTTTTGCTTTTTTTTTGCAATAGTGGAGGTACTCTTTTTAGAGCATGAGGATGATAGGTTAAAAGAGCAGAAATGTCAAGTGCTTTTTCTGGTTGCATTGAGGAAGATAATGGATTTCAGCACAGCTATTATATGTAATTTCCTTTTGCATAAATGTAAAATAGGTTTTTGGAAAAAAACCCCAACTTTCAATATTCAGCATTTGATGGAAATTTCAGGTTTCAATTTATTGCAAATCTTCATCATACATTTCTCTAGCTTTTAGCTTTCTTTACCTAATTTAGTGTGAGAAAACTAATTTTGAAAACTTTGAAAAATGTGCTGCTTTCAGAAATGCCATTTGACTCTTAATTAAGTGTGTAAAAATGAAATTTGATCTGGCACAAAAAACCTTCGAGAGCTGACAGTGTCATTAGCTTTTAGTTTCATAGTATGTGCTTTATATTACTACTAGATTAGTAGATTAAGAACTCTTCCAACAAAAAAGATACACAGACATACAGCATCTTGAAATTCTAATTCCTTCTGTCCTTGTCACATTCTCTTTTTTCAGCTACAAAATCTCTATGATAAGTTGAACTCCGCACGTGTGTTGTCTGTGGAGTGAGCTTTCTACATTCCTCTTGGATGTTGTTCTTTAGGATGTAGGAAAGGTCTGACCTTTGGCTTCTGAGACAACTAGGCAGAGGTTGTCTACATCCTCTGTCTTTGGTGTTAACCAAATGTAATGTATTTGCTTTTCATCCTAGTGCATATGATATCTGGTTCTTTCCCACAGGTGGGATGCAGTGGGTAATGTCACAGTATTTTATCCCGTTTCTGAAGCTGTCACGAGTCCTCTAGAGAAGGATCAGAATATTTTATTTGTTTAAAATAGCATTTAAGCTTTTCACGGTACAGGTATATTGTCTCAGAGGTTGGTGGTGCTGGTAGGTATCCCATGGCCTCTTACACAAGCTCCATGGCTGTTACAGTTCAGGTCCTCAGCTGAACAGCAGTTTGCTTTCAGAAACCATCTGTTTGCATGAAAGAGTTACATTAAGCAGGGTATTTGTAGCCTGTTTAATGTGGTTATTTTCTAATTAGCTGTTCTCTTTCATCACCTAGACCTACAGTGAGGTTGTTTCTTAAGGATGATGGAACTCAAAGTCACGGAATGTGGCTTTTCTACCTCCTCTGCTTTGCATCTGTCTTTTATCCTGGGCAGGGTTGTTCCTGGCTCTGTATGTTTGTTCTGGTGTATTTTAATAAGGAAAAAAAATTATTTTATATTAAGGATATTGATAAAAAGATTGTAACTAAAACTTGTAGACAACTGGATGCTTTTTTAAGTAGGAGTCAAGTATTGGTATTTTTTTCTACCATTCTAGCTAATTTTTTTATTTTAGGCTGAGGGAAAAATAATTCAGAGGCAGCAGTACTCCAGGTATTGTCTATATGTTTGATTTCAGTTGTTGTAGTGTCTGAGCAACATACCTTTTTGTTCTGTTTATGAATGTCATGCTTTAAGTGAAGGGCATATGGTGAGTTGTATCAGCAGCTACAGCAATACAATTTTACGTAATGAATTTTCTAATTTTAAAGACTGGCATTCTAACCATCTTGCATGTTTGAGGGTGTTTTGTTTTTTTTTTAATTCATGTCTTTGTTCATTTGTTAAATGTTAATTGAATTAAGCGGGGAAACTTCTACACAGAACTAGTTCTGTGCTCTACACAGAACTACAATGTTGTACACAGGAAATATCTTAAGTCATTGGTCAGCTCATGTATGTATTTATATCAGTGGGGACCAGTTTGTTATCCTTGAGTGTTTTGTAGCTACATACAATATTACTTTTAAAAATTATATTTTTTTAAGAACATAAACATGGCCAAATGGTAGGGGACAAAATTTTGTCTAACCCAGAATCCCGTATTTGACAGTGGACAAAAACAGATGGGTAGGGGAAAGTGTACAATCCCAGGCTCCAGCCACTGATGTCTCAAGAACTTTTTATGCTTGAGGTTGTTTCTGTGAACTTAGTAGATTTCAGATGATTTCTCTTCTGTGAAGTTTCCCCATCTCCCCCTGAGCCTAGGGGGGGCTAATATTTGCAGCATCCTTATTGTAGGGTGTTATACAGCCTTAACCATATGTTGTCTGAAGAACCATATCCTTTTGTCTAGTTTTTGACACATTTCACCATAAAATCCTTAAAAAGCAAGTTTAGGAAATTTCTTGTAGTTTAAGATGATTTTGGAGAGGGGAAACCAGAAAAAACTTTCTTTGTGATTTTTAATTACAGGTGGATTTATTTTGATACAGAGAGGAGACATTCTGTTAAAATAGCCTGAAATGCTCTCAGCTTTGTCAGTATCACATAAATACATTTGTATTTTCAGTTCTTGGCTCCGAAAGAAAGTAAAAATGAAACTCTGCCTCCCACAGATGAAGGTGGTGATGTTGATGATTTGGTGAGTACCATAAAGATATGATGTGGCTTTAGAGTTCAACTGTAACTGAAAGGTGCAATGGGAGAGCACGAGTACTTCTTAAAGGCTTAGAAAACGCTAAAGGAATTGAGTCAGAAAAGAGCCACATGAAATTACTTATTTGCTATCGTAAAAGTTAACCAGGTGTGTAATTTCATGATGGCAAATAGTATGTTACTACATAACATAGGTGTTTACATAGGCAAAATGTGTCCTCTAGTGTGTTTCAAAACAGCCAGTGAGGCTGCTCATTTGATGGTGGATTGTTATAATTTACTATAATAGCATTTAACAAAGCTTGTATTTCTTGATCAGCTATTTGTATGGGTTGAAAACTAAAATTGTTTAAGAAAAGATGTTTTAATCTTCTCAATTAAACTTCTCTATATAGACTTGCTGAAATTCAAGAATTTCAAGAGGGTTTTTAATAAATATTTTAGCCATCTTTTACAGACTGAGTCATTACAAGTCTGACTCCAAGGCTTAAGCTGATGGTGTAGATGGTTTTAAAGAAGCTTCAATAACAGACAGATTTCTACTTTTAGATTGTACTTTTTAAAATTTATAAATTGTACATATGTTTATAGGAAGATGAAATTTTTAAGTTTGCTTTTGTACTTTATAGAAACTTAGTAATAAGCTCTGTACAATCCATTTATGTTACATGATAAGGATTTCCAAATTTGCTGTGTATTCTAAGTGCTAAACACATGTAAGACACATTGCTGCTCCCTTCAAATCTGTTTCTTCTGTTTGCAGTTGGACATGATGTGACTGGGTAATATATGGTGACTATACAACCAAAGTTTTGGAAGAGATCTCCCTGTGAGATGGGGCACAAAAAAAGAAGCTAACGAGAAGACAGTACATCCATCTTTATTTTCTCAAATGAGAGCAGAAATCCCAGAAACACTTCCAGCTGGTATAAATATCATCTGACTTTTCAAAACTAGAAAAGAAGACTGAAATGAAGTGTTTGGGAAGTAATAATAGCTTTAAGGCATCTTTTTTTTTTTTTTTTTTTTTTAAGAACACTGAATCTAGCTTGTCCTTGGTATTGCTTTCAGCTAAACACTACTAAATTTAATGAGAATCTGCTCTGGTGCCTGAAATTCTTGTTACATTGCCTGGGAAGGAAGACAGAAATGTCACAGTGAGGTTACCAGGTCATACTGAATCTTTAGTGGAGGTAACCCCTTAGCATTATGGTTACAGAAAGGAAAAAGCCACTATTTTCATGCTTTTAAAGAAACCCCAACCAACCCAAAACAAAAACAAACGAACAAAAAACAAACTGGGGGGGGGGAACAGGAGGAAATTCTAGGCCAGGGACTCACAAAGTAATAGTTTGAAATGCACAACAGAATCTAAAGCACACAGCAGAGCCACGTGTGCTGATTTTGCCACACTGTACCCAAATCAGTAATTATGGTCATCTCTATATTACAGGTTCTCTATTCTGTCAGCTCAACAGCAACTCTAAGTCTGTCCCTTTCTGTTATACTTTTTCCTGTTTCATGTGCTGGGATTTTTGATTTGTTTAGACTTCTAAGTAGTACAGTTACTGCAGATACACCTGGTACTAACTGTGCACTGACACCTGTGACAGATAACTGATAATAGTTAACACTGGGAACCAGGAGAGCAATCCAAAGTGGTCAAATACTGCTTAGAAAGAGATACTCAAATTTGATTACAGATGAGAGAGACAGTAATGACACCTTCACACAGGCTGGTTTGTTACAACCAGATTAATTCCATTATGATAAATGTATAAACATAGTGTAAAAAACAGTATTAAGATCATAAAAAAGAAAAAAATCATGATCTGTAATTCCAAAATGTTGTGGAATATCTGCACTTCATACTGACCAACAGCTCCCCTGTGGGAAACAGCAGTTGCTTTTTGCCCCTACTTCCCTTGACAGCAGCCTGCTCTCCCCTCTCTTGCATCCTGTCCCAGGTGAGTTCATTGAAAGGGTTTCTCAAATGCAGATGGCTGGGAGTTAGTGATCTTTGCAGATCTTTATAGCATTTTATATTTCTCAACTGTAAATAAGAAATATTTGATCAGTGTTTTGATTGTCTTTTAAGGCCAATTTATGGAGTACAGCATGGACTGGTTTGTTTGGGGTTTTTTTTACACTTCATTTTTGTTTGTTTGTTTGTTTAATAAAAATATTTTAAAAATTGTTTTTTGTCGTCTTCAGAACTGTGTTTGCTAAAATCAGGTGACCAGCAATGCAGTACCTAAGAGAAACAATCTAAAGCCCCTTTCCTGGGCCTACAATACGAACACAGAATATCAAAATTCCTCTACAGAAGCAGAGTGTAATTACTTATGCTATTCTTTACAAACTCTAAATTTCACAACAACCCAATAAAATAATTTTTACCATATTGTAGAGATGACGAGAAAATCCTGGTAAAGACCTCAGATGAGATAGAATTACTTTTCAAATCAAACCTTCAGCTTTGTTTCCTTTTCCCTTCTGTCTTCATTCTTCTTCTCTTGCTACCAGGACAGTAATGGAGTGCAGTGCGGGGCAGCACTTAAGAATATCAGATGTGGAAAACCTCTGAGTTTTCTTGTCCCTCTTTTAAGATGCAGGTTACAAAGATTATTTAAAAAGCAATATGTTCCTAGTACTAGCAGGGGACTGGAGGCCCACCCACACTTGTGTTTCTAAATGCTTTGAAGAACTCCTGCACAGAAAAGAACAGTTCTCTCTATAAGCCTCCACCACGTAAAGGTGCTGGTAAATGAAGGCAGCATTTTCTGCAAGAGGTGACTTGTCTTTCTGGGTAGTGGTGTTTATATATATAGGATTTATGTGCACTGTTTTGAAGGCAGCTTTGGGAGAAGTTCTGCACCAGCTTGGACTCTTCTTTTCTTGCAATTACTGAACCTGAAAGTTTTAGAGGAATGGATTACACATACTAAAGAAAATAAAGGAAACCAGAATAGTTTTCTTTTGTGATACTGTCATAATCTAATATGGAGAACTAAAACAGATACATTAAAAAAGACAAGGCTGTGATTTTTAGCCTCTATTCCATTTTCCAAAGGATGAAAAAACACATTGAACTCTGCATAAAAATTTAGAATAGAGGCAGAGATAGTTTTTGCTATACAAGAAAATTACTTGGAAAACATTTGAACATAGCTTAGCTTAAAGTTTAATCATATTTTTCCATGCAGCAGGTTTTGATTAAGTGGAAAGGTTATTATCCCACTCTAACCTCCCCCTTATAGTGTTTTGGAATAGTGCTTGCATTTACGAAAATAAAATAACTAAACAGGAACTAGAAAAGCTGTCCCTTCTTCTAGTTTTTATGGACGAGGCATAACCTTAGTGCATCTGTGAGCTGAGTGCCTTGTAATGGAACCTTCACTCATCTGACTTTCTCTGGCCATACTTATTGTACTTCAGTGACTCAGGTTGGACAGAAGTTAATCTGCTGCTTCTTCCCAATAACTTTGCAAAGCCAGCATGACTAAGACATAGTAAAATGAATTCTGAGCTTTTTGATGCCTCACCAATACAAGTCTCAACTGCTGACCATCAAAACAACCTCTTTTACCAGCAACTCACAGTACTTCTTGCTGTTACCAAATAATGAATTATTTCACACCACTAAAAAGTACTCAAACTCATATATATATTTACTGGTGTACTAATTTTTAGGACCCCTCTGTATGCATCAAGTCAAGTGTATGCACTCCTGTGAGACTTTGGGAAGTCTATGATGGAATTAGTAGGTTGACCATAGAAATGTATTTACTGTTGCTTTAAATGTATCAAACAAAAGGATTGTTTTTCTTCACAATCTTACTGAGTTCCAACTGTCTCATCCTTTCTTCCTATTTTAATGTGCAATAATAGGCAGTAATAACTGTCATTTTCTTTTCCTCCAGAAGGGAGTGAATCTTGCAGCTTTCAAGATATTAACAGAAAACAGAAATACCTCTAGTGGAGGGTATAACTAGAAACATTTTCTATCTGCTGTCTGAGACAATGCATAAAGGGAGAACAAGCCCCTGAGGAGACCAACTGTGGTGCAGATATTTTTGCCTGAAGCATGTGGATCAGACATAATGCTAGGTAAAGGAAGGTAAAAGAGCTGTTAATACCTGATTATTGGAGTTTTACATGGCTGGATGTATGAGAATTCCTTCTCCAGCTTGCTAATGCAAGTAGTCAAATGATAAAGGTTCTCTCCCCATGGAGTCAGTGCATCCACAATGTGAAGAAATAGCCCCCTGTACTCTGTGACTTTTCACAAGAGTTACAGGAGCTGTATCAGAATGTTTAGGGACCCTTTACTTACTAAAAAAGGAGGGGGTGGCAGGGAGAAATTTTTTTTCTTAGGTCCCAAGCAGAGCAGCACAGAAGGCCCTGATCTGAATGCACTTTTGATGGCTAGCAAACATGGAAAACTTGAGGACACCTTCCCTTGCAGGGACCATATGCATAGCTAAGCTGGTTGGGTTTGCTGCATGTTGTTTGTAAGGGGCCTGTGGCTCTATCAAAAGGGATGATTCAAAAATTTGTGAGATCTGGTGGCCAGGCTTCTTGGGAGATAAAGAAGGTACTCTAGATGAGGTGTGTTCTGTAACAGGTGGAATCCTCAGTGATGTACTAATAATACTAATAATGTACTAATAATACTAAATCAACCTGGAAGTTGAACAGAGAAACAGGCTGTGTCCCTGTAGCTCCATTAAATTTTTTTAATTGTCTTATGTCCTAAGAATGTAAGAGAGCTAATCTGGTTCACTAGCAGAGGACAGCAACAGTAGGGTTTTATTCCTAGTTCTGCAGAAGACTCATTTGGGGCCACTTACTCATTCTCTCTGCCTCTTGATTATCCTCCCTTTGCAATTGGGAAAAGTTGTTTACTTTTGGTGTCTCACAGGGAAGGCAGCTGAAAGACTTTTGAGGGACTTCAGTTGGATGAGACTTCATATAGAGAGGGTATGTCAGTGCAAAAGTTTTATGGCAAAAGATTTAGGAGGTGGGAGTAAATGAAGAAAAAAGCAAGTTATTGTGATGCTCCCTGGGACACGAGGAGAACATGATCATTAGTCTTGAGGAGAAGTGGAGCAGCGGGAATTCCATTAAGTGTCTCAAAGGCAGCAGGAATATGTGAGAGGCAGACATTAAACAGACAAAGATCGAGATATTCTGGAGAAATGGAGGATCAGTTATTCCACTTAATGACTTTGAAAGGCAAGGAGAGGAAACAGATGAGGTTTCAAAGCTTATTATTAAAAAGAACAGCCTTTCTATATCTCTTTCACAGTCCAGAAAGAATGAGCTGTTTTACATAATGAACATTTACTTACAGTTCTCCCAGACACACACACACTGACCTACTTAAAAATGCAAATGGTCACAAAGTTCCCTTTGGGCAGCAGTGACAAAATCAATGTGGAAGGAATAGGGTTAGTCCAGCAAGACAATACGTAATTGGGTTGTGGCTTGTCTGCAAGAGATTTCTCTGCAATCCTCAGGAAATGGGAGCTTTAGCATTTGAATGACTCATAGCTCAAGGTCTACACATGAGATTGTGTATAATCCCTGTTAGCTTAAAGCTGATGATGACTCAGAAGTAAGAACTGTGATGAAACAGAGGGCATGTGAAAAAGAACAAACATTAAGAGAGAAAAACCTTTTGCTACCAGCAGTTCAGTGTAACTTGAAACACAAGAACAACACATACCCAAGGGGACCACTGGAAATCAAGGGAACATAAAATTATGCATATATTTTACACAGTCAGTGTGGGCTGGAAGGCAGGACCAGCTTTACCTTCTGGACAGTGAAATGTAGTTCTTCACAGAAAAGATGTGGGCAGTTTCGGAGATTTACTGTGGGGTAAAGAGAATTGAAAGACAAATCGCAGCTATGTGGAGAAATATATGTTAAGTATTCAAAACAAATTGTTTCCTTCTCTTAGGTTTAACTGCTGGAGTTTTTGTGCAGGAATTTCCTTGTGATGGAATCTGGCCTTTAGGTTGCCAGTATCTAAAAAATTACTCTGGGCCAGGCTGTAGATGGTTTGAGAGTGGTACAAAAACTGCTCCAATGGGATGAGTGAAACGGAAGAAAATACACTTCTGTGATTCACTCAGTAGCTGCAGAGTGACCGGAATTGTTAGAATGCAATTCTGTATTTTGTTTGGCTTTAAGTCATAGAATAGTTTGAGTTGGGAGGGGCCTTTAAAGGCCACCTAGTCCAAGCACTCTGCCATGTTTCTTTAAAGAATCAACCCCACCTTCCAAATCCTAGAAGAACAAATGCGTCTGAAGATAACTTGCCTGTGTCTGTAGCCTTCATTGTACAAAGATTTTCTGAAATCTCTGGGGATTTCCTGTGTGCTCTCAGAGACAGCATGAAACCAGCCAATGGGGCAGAAGTTGATGTCTTCATTGTACCAGTTTTCCTCTGGATAGCAATGACTGCACAGAGGATACTGAGGCAAAATCACCAGGTGTGCCAAGAACTGGCAGCCTGGTTGCTCAGGTTCTAAAAGCTCTGACAACAGGGTGCAGGAAAGCTTACATGACTGCTGTGAATGCTGTTCCTCTACGCTCTTTTGGGGATTTGCAAACCAGACGTGTCTGTAGAGCACGAATTGCTCCCTGCATGAATTAAAGGCATTAAGGGAACTGAGAGAGGAGAAGGGAAAGATAACTCAAAATATACATACACAGTTTGGGATAGTAACTGAAAAAAATAGTGCTTCAAGACAAGGAGGGATGAAATCGAATGGATAAGGATATAATTTAGTATGAGAAGAGAGCAAATCATATCAAGAACATTCCCTTAGGATTCATTTAGACCGACACACCCAGATCCTAAGGAGCAGCACGGTACTGCAGAAAGGAAAAAAAGAAGTTCTTTCTTGGACTTTCTGTGGCTTTTGGGATTCAGTTGTGTGTCATCAGCTCAAAATGCTGTTTGGTAATAGAGAGTTCTTGTAGCTTCTATGAATGGAGCTTGTCCATATTTGTAGTGTATAAACCAGTCTGTATTAATACCCATTAGCTGTTTCTAGGTAACATCCAGGTGTCTTAGAGCTGTAGTTCCTTAATGGAATGCTTTAAGCAATGATTACCCAGGCTTGCATTGCTCACTGAGGGCATTTAAAAAAAAAAAAGAAGTCACAACATAGGGCTATAGAA